TCTGTTTGGTAAGCGAGTACACAAAACTGCAGATGTAGTTCATTTCCATGTCTTCAGAATTCAATTTTGTATCTGCACATTCTGTTGTCGTGTGATTGTCACCAGGAAAGCCTCGTCACATGTTGTCAAAATAAATGTGTGACTTAACTGCTTTCAGAAGTGAGTGGCCTGATTTGGAATGTCCCACCTGTTATGGTGTCCGAGAAAAATACAGAGACTGAAATCTGACTAGCAAGAACATCTGGAGTTAAAGTTCCGATATCAGATTGTCTCAGCGGCTGTTGTAGGAATTCAGAAAGAAAATCCAAGAGTTTCTGTGAAAAAGAGTTATCGAATTGAGGATTGTGTCTAAATATAACAGCCAAGACAGAAAAAATTATCTCCAGCGGGAGAATTAATTTGCCCAAAGCTTGTAGACCCCTACCTTGAGAAGTTGAAGGGAGTTGATTTTGATGTGTTGTAGCCCTGGGCATGTTATATCCAGCCAGTGCCATTGTTTTCCATGCTGTCGGTTGACCAGCAGGTTGCAGTCTCCTAGGGATTTTGGCTTTGCTGAACTCATGTTCAGAAATCGTTATTTTTTTTCTGCGTGGTGCAGACAATTCCAAATGTAACCGCCTCTGGCAAAAGTGCGATAATTAGATTATTTCTTCGTTTAGCGTCTTTGACCTCCTCCACATAAATTGAAGAAAACATTTCACTCGGTGTTGGGGGGGGAAGTTTTGTTTGGAGTGGGGTGATTTTATTTTTTGGCAGTCGTTCAAGATAGATGAAAGCCCCCCTTGCAGGTGTTTGTTTGTATGCTGGAATTTCGGGTGTGTTTTGTATCCATATGCATCAGGTCAGAATGCCACACCCTGAATGGATGCAAGGCATGATCTTTCACAGAGGTCATCCGGGTTTCAAATTGTTTATTTCCAGTCAGGACATCACAGTTCCACTTGCCCACAAGGTTTTGCTTGTCCCTACAAGACTGTGCTCTGAAGTGACAAGGGGCCTAAATCAGCAGTCTTACTCTAGATCGATGGGCATGGTTTGAACAAAAGCGGTGGATGTACAGTGTACATGTAGATGCAGAAGGTGTCGCCTGCAATTGTGCATGGTGTAAGGCTTTAAATGTGCTGCTGGGCGAATAAGAACAGATGGCACTGAGCACAGTTTTCAGAGCCTCAATTTCATTTTCACTTCATGAACTGATAAAACCCCCCAAAAAACTTTCCATGGTCACTGTCCTTGGCTCTTGAGCAGGAATCAAAGCTTGGAGATATTTACAACCTCTGAGAAAGGAGCATGTGTTCGCAGTTTGTCAGTCCATGGAGGAATACCAACATGGTTGGTCCATGTTTCCTTCATCTGTGTTTTGTTGGTACCTGTTTCTTTGATAAAACCTACTGGGCAATCAGCGTAGGACTCCTGTGTGGGCATTTATCGCTCAGTCACCTGATTAAGGCCAGACTCACTGGGGAAGGCTGATCTTGTGGGGAGGGGGTTTGATTTATAGCATCTGGTCCATGGCTCTCCCCAGAATTTAAAAAGGAAACAAGCAAGCTCAGAAGAACAAGAATGGCCAAAGTGTGTGAGAATGCAAGATTTGGGGCACCTTTTGAAGGTAGCGTTCAGCATTTAAAGTACCTACGTTTGGCATTGTGTTTGGGGAGAAATATTCAGGTCAAAATGCAGTGAGGTGCTTTTGTCAAAGAGGAGAATGGGAGACGATAAGTTGTGACATATTTTAAAATGGTGATCGATGGCATTATTAGCAAAAAGAAAAAGTGATTATGAATTCCAACCAAAGGGATCATGCACACAATAGAAGGAGGAGCCTAAGTGTACTATGTGTACATGTATATATAGTTCATGCTCACTAGGAAACTTGAGATCAAATCTGACTTGTTAGGGCTCATGTACATCATGTACATGTGAATTCACACACGTGACCTTTCTTTCTTTATGTAGTTCCTGGATGTTAAAGTTCAAAGGAAGAGTACACTTTTTAAAACAATCAGCAAGACTTCACCTCTTAAAACTTCAACTTCAGGTCACTCCCCAAAAAGAGGAAACGTCAACTTTTTGTGATCCAGATAACAAAAACTAAAATGCCATCATCACAGTTTCCAAAAATCAGAAATGAAAATATCTGGGCCACTCACTATGAAAACAAAATCCAACAGTAACTTCTACAAGTAAGGTACATACTATTAGAAGTTTAGAACAGGGTAAATTAGAACTCAGGTGCAGTTGTAAGTACAATTGTGACTTTTTGAGTTATCTGCTTTTATACAGGAAAAAAAACACTAGTAGGAATGTAGGTCCATTGTTCAAGCACTTGGAAGCTATCCTTCCAATCAATTACAAGAGTGGGTGAAAGCATGGCGGAAGTATGTAGTGTTACATGGAGTCTGTGGTCCATGGCCAATTTCCCTCCCCACAAGGCTGCACATGCTCTTCTCATTAAGGCCCCAGACATGGTCGTGGCCAGGTTTTAATTAGGAATGTTGTAAAATCTAATACCCTGGTTTCCTGCTGAGGTAAGGTTGTTGGCATGAGGGAAGGCCAGAGGTCGGCTGTGCAAGGACAAGGGCAGACTGGCAGATATGAGGCCAGTGTCCCCTGACCTCTAATTTGAGGACGCCTGTCCTGAGTCTTGGAAGGCCCTTCAGCATGTTTCTGTCAGAATGTGGATATCGTTGTACTGGTACCTGCTTAGACTATGGACATTGTGCCACGGCTGTCTGTATTTTTTTCCAAGAAAGTTGAACTGTTAACGGGAAATACAGTGGTGTGGACTCTCAAGCTGAGTGTCCTCACAATGTTTTGGGTCCTCAGTTAACTATTGAGCACAACTGGAACGTGTATTTACATATTTAAATCACAATCAGTAGGCCAGGAGTTCATTCATTAGAGGACACCAATGTAGTGGCAGATCTTTGACTCTATCCACAAGATCAGGGCACTCTTCAACAACCGGTAGAATGGAAATTTGTGGCTAATACCAGCAGCTTTGTCCATGAACTCAAGAGGGCACTTCGTTGGCTATCTTTTCATATTACAGAGTGTGTGTTTAACTGGAGATAGAAAGATGGGACTCGAGTATGCTGTCCTTTTTTTTCTTCCCTTTTTCAGCTCTTACAAAAGTTTTCAAACATTTTAACCCTAGGATGTGTGATATTTGAAATTTTCCTTACTACAAGGTCCAAATTCAAAATTGATACAGTGTATTCAAAAGAGCACCAATTGGGGTGATGAATTTTCCAAAAAAAGAAAGTTCTCAGGAGACATTTAATATTTAAGTTGTACCGGTCATAATGAATAGTACTGTGGGCTTGGGCTTGTAGACAACCTGCTTTTGCTCCCTGAAGATGTTTGCAACTCTGACTTCAAAGTTAATACTTAAAAAGAGTGTTTGCCTGTGCATGTATGCCTTCCACTACTCAGTTCAAGGTTGTATGGCTCTGACTTCCCAAAGGGACGGGAACACCCAATCATGTCCTGCTGGAAGATGATTTAGAGCCATCCTTGAAAGTTTATGGGGCACTTTATCTTTAGATAATACTAGACAATTGAATTTGAAAACAGAACTAATCAAGAGAAGTTTTTCTCTCCCTCTCTTTCGATTTTTTTTAAGCTGATTCAGCTCTTTATGAAATGAATTATTTCTAACTGGCCTTTTGAAGTTACATTCTGGAATTGTGTGGGTATGGGTTTCATTGGCAGAAGGTGAAAGCCATGCTTACTTGAAGCCCATGACACTTTTGCCGATTCTTAAATTGGATAAAAGTTCCTCAAATAATGCACTGTCTCATTTGAAGTCCTTATAATTAAGTGGAATTTTCCAGAAGCCAAAACAAGTACAATTATTTTGAGAAACTAATTTTCAAAACCAAGGGTCTCAGTTCTTTTCAGGCACCGGTACATGGCTTCATAACGATATTTCTATGAATTCCAGACAGGCTGTCAACAGACTCCCTCGTATACCGTACTTTACACAGATTCCAAAATGAAAGATGCAAAGCCAAATGTAAAGTGTATTTTAACACTCCTGTTGGGTTAGTTTTAAGTTTGCCCCACATGCTTCTCTTTCACTGGAGCTTATTCAGTGGTGCCGGTAATGTGGAATGGCATGGTTCAGTGCATGCAATTATTTTTATCTTTACCAAATCCCTCACCCCTGAAAAAAAAATTGGGCAAAACCCATTCCCATTCTGTCGTCTGTCTGAAATTTTCTAGTCTCTTTTTTTTTTTTCAGCTCACAGCTGATGGGGTCAGACAGTTTGCCGCTGGCATGACCTTGTTGGTACATTGCATTTCTCCTTGTGAACTTTATTCAGTACTGAAAGCCTGTCAGGATGACAAGTTTCTGACCAAACTTTGAGGGGGGGCCCCTATTCTTAGTAGGTTATTAAATTGGAAAGTAACCGAAAAATGACATTCAGAATTCAGTTAGTGGGTTCAGGGGGACACAGGTTGCAGGCCTCTTATATTGGGAGGCGGGATTTGGGAGATACCTTTTCCGTTGATAATGACTGAAATGTGCCCCGCCCATTTGTTCGGGTTCACCTCCCCTTTGAAAATACCAAGTTCCCTCCCCCCCTTTTTGTAAAGGCTGGATCTGTCACTTTTTTTTTTTTTGGTTGTTTGTCTTTTAAAATGCAACCTTTCACAGACTTGTTCAGTGGTAAATTTGGAATTGGAAGGTAGAGGTGTAAATGTTGTAGATAATGAAGGACTTTAAAAAAATAACATGTTCAAAATTCCTATTTGGAATTTTTTTGCAACTGGGCTGTTTGGGAAAAAAAAAGAAGCAACTTCAATTATTGCCCATACACTGAGAAGTCCTGTAAGCTGTTACAGATATCTAAAACATGAAATACTGTAGTATCCTCATGGTATTTCTAGGCTTCAGTAGAAAAGCTCTCGCAAACTCACTGCCTGCCTGTGAAGTCTAGATTCATAGACTAAACCCAGTCCTCCTCTGTCTCTTGTTCTTGTGTTACATGTAGGTGTGTTATTTGTTGTCGGTGGCCGGGGAGCGTCGGGGGACCCATTCAAGTCTATCGAGTGCTACGACCTCCGCAGCAACCGCTGGTTCCACGTGGCCGAGCTGAACTACAAGCGAAGGCACGTGGGCGTGGTGTCCTCGGGAGGTATGTGGCTTTTCAACATTGTTCCATTAATGAGGGGCTTTTGTCAAAAGGTGGCATCTCAAAAGTTTGGAAAATGTCCAGCTGCAAAAAAGGGCTAATGGATGGCATTTTTCTCCATCAAGAGCGATCTGGTATTCTCGTTGGAATTCTGATAAGTGGAAGCATTGCAGGTTTAATATCTGAGTAAGTGTGATGTCAGGAAGTACATTAACTTTCATAGAGGTTAAAACTCAAAAAGGAATGGTCCAGATGAATGCTGCCCTCTTTTGGCTCCTTAATACTCTAGCATTTGGCTGTGTAATTGAACAATTGAACTTTGGGACTTTTGCACCTGTCAAACAAACCTTATTTTCTTCAGGTTTTTTTTCGTGTGTACAGGTAAAGTATATGCTGCTGGTGGACATGATGGCCGGGACCATCTCAACAGCATGGAGGTATTTGATCCTAGAACCAACAAATGGACGCTGCTGTCACCGATGAAGACCAAAAGGTGCCATGTTGCCTGTAACTTTACTTTGTATCGGTAGCTTTTAAAAAGAGACATGCAGTAGCTGTGGCTCATTGACAAGCCATTAAATGTTCGTGCAGTTGCTGAAGTGATTGGAAAGGTTTCAAAAAGCGAGGGCTGAGCAGTACATGTACCTATGGATTTTGGAACACTGCAGACTAGTCCAAAACACTCCAACTGCATGTTGCACACTTAAGGTGCAGGTGCATTTTCGCAAAGTCACAGCATTTTAGATTTTGGAACACTGTACCGTAGACTAGCCCAAATCACTCCAACTGCATGTTGAAAACTTCCTTAAGGTGCAGGTGCATTTTAGCAAGTCACAGCATTCTATTAATTGAAAGTAACATTTAATGAACATTGGTGACCATCTCATGTGTTTATTACTATAGACCTTTGTCATTATGCTGCCATTTTTGTCTTGCACCTGTATACCGAATGATAAAAGCAATAAACCATTAATTCCCCATTGGTTTGCATAGGCGGGGCTTAGCTGTCACCCAGCTGGGGGGTCCACTCTATGCCATCGGGGGGCTGGACGACAACACATGCTTCAGTGAAGTGGAGCGGTACGACATTGCCAGTGACACCTGGAGCTACGCCGCTTCGATGACCATGGCCAGAGGGGGTGTGGCCGTGGCCACACTGAATGACCACATCTACGCAGGTCAGTCAAATGGTCAACGAGCTCTGGGCACGACTGTGATACACATACATGTATTTGTTGTTCACCTTATGCAGGAAGAGAGCTGGCTTGTCTTTACATAGCAATGCTCTCCCATTGTTGGGAACTCAGTGCATACGAACAAAGGTTCATGGGAACTTGCTGAGCCCATATATGGTCTGCAGTTGTACGCCAAACACAAGCCCAGTCAATAAATCAACCTGTCTCTTTCCTGTTGGAGATGGAATGCATCTAGTCAGAGCAGATTTCCAGGTCTGTGAAGTTGGTGCCTCGTTTCAGTCAAGCACATTCAAATTACCAATTTAACTGAGTTCTTTCCTTGCAGGTAAAGCTGCAAACAACAGACACAGATTAAAAAACTGAATAGTAGAAAATATTTAAAACAAATATTTACCAAAAGAAATAAATGACCCAGAACAATTGGAAATTTGAGCATACAGTGTTTATTAATATACGTTGGGTAAGGGCAAACCCGTTATATATACAATTGGAAATGTTGTACAAACTAAGCTGTTGTGACAGACATTTTCAGAAAGAACTTGCTAAATACATTTCATTACTTTGCTCCCACTGTTTCAAGGAAAAAGTGAAATTTAAAATACATTTGATATATTCAAAGTTCCAAGTTCGTTTTTTTTTTCCGGCTAATATTGACTTCATTGGCTTTTAACATTGTTGTGTCCTGTCAAGATTTCTTTTGCTCTGCTGGTAAGAGCTCAATATTCATGTATGGTGGTAACTCAGAAAGTAGCCTACTACAACTTTCATCCACTTGTTGAAAACAGTCTCATGTTAAGTTGGTTGAAATGAATGTAACATACAAATGTCACTCAACTTGACGGTGTCAGTTGATGATAGGTGTTTAAAGTACAGGAGAAATCTGGTAATGGTTTGCTGAAAAATAGTACTTAATGAATGATGAATTGTCTGAATTGGTCACAAAATGTTTTCACACATGCGTCAATACTTATTCTGTGTGATTGTTATGATCACACACAAGTTCAGCATGTGTCAAGAGGTCGGTTCCCAGAGTTGCCAGGCCCGGGTTGCCTGTCTGACCACATCCTGTCACGACATCGAGGGAGACTGTGAAAATAATCCCACTTACTTTGTACCTCCCTGTGCCCTGTGTGCTTTGCAAACTGGAAACCTGTTTGCAACCTGGCCCTTCAAAATGAGCAGTAGCTGGCTGGGGGTTGTTGTATGTGTTGAAAGAAGTTCTCTTGGGAAAACTAGTGGCTTCTTGCCTTCCATCTTGGGGGATCCAGGTCTTTGATTTAGGGGAACAAAGCAAACATTCTACTGAGCGTGACTGTCCACATTTTTTCATCCGTACAAGAGTCCTAATCCTACCTGAAGGGTAGTAGTACTGTTTCTAAAGTGACAGCATGGTCAATTTCTTAATGAACAGGTTGCAACATCTTTTGAAAGGGTGTGAGACAACTTGTTGCCTAGCCTCCATCCCCTGCTGGACGTGCCATTGTCTTGTCTTCTGCATTTTTTATATGTAGGTTAATTTCAGAACAAACTTGGGCCAACCCACATCACATTAAGTTTCCACAGGCTGTAACTTTGAGATCAAACAGGCATATTCCCATGCTTACTGCTATCAGAAAACTTGACATATTCTTTTCACTGTGATTACACAGCAATCAGAGCGTAATGCTCATCTTCCTTCCTCATTGGTCAACTTCGTGCAGTTTTGCCGAACCGACGCCAACTGTTTATCACAAAATCATTTCCTGTCAAGGTTTCCAATGTGCATTTCATGACCGTAACCAAACTATTCAATTCTTGTCATGTGCTCAACAGTCGGTGGCAATGACGGCTCCACCACTCTCAACACCTGCGAGCGGTACGACCCCCACCTCAACAAGTGGACGATGGTCGCCTCCATGCAGACCAGACGAGCGGGTGGGGGAGTCCTGGCCCTCAATGGGTACCTCTACGTCATAGGTCAGTCCTGTTACCCCTTGGGGTTGATTTCGGGTGGAATGGTGAAACACATAGAGGCACAAATTTTCCCGACAGTGAACGCTGTTTATTTTCACTGAGAACATTGCACATGTTGTCGGAAGGGGCTGTCTGGTGGCATCTGGTGTCCCTGAAAAATCTGACTCGGGAAAGCTCTTGTTTTTGTCGAGCGTGGGCTGGCTTGTCCTAAGTTCGTAGAAAGAAACGGAGCATATAAACACAGTGCCACAAACACAGTTCTGTGACAGGGCAATAAAGTCTTGTCTGCAACCGTAATGCCAGCCAACACAAATTCTGTCACTTCATCACTGGGAGAATCCTCATTCATGTCCAGTGTATCTACAGTGTGTACATGTATGTGTCAGCCAGTATGGGATACCAAACTGGACAGGTTTTAGGGGGACAACTGGGGGGATATTTGGCCGCCAAAAAAAAAATCTTATTTCCCCATGGAAAAAGGTACCAAAAAACATTAAACACAAACGCCGACTGAAATAAACTTGACTGTGTGCGGAGTGAGTTGCTGTGTATAATTTATGACGATTGAAAGAAGTTGGTTAAGTTGACAAACTGCTGCTTGTAGAAAACCAAAAATCTCACACTGCTCAAAAACCTCTACATGTAAATGTAGTTCTGAAAATCCCAGAAAAGAAACAGAGTAGTGATATATGTAGACCCCATGATGGGGAGAATTGGGATGGCAGCAAGGGAAACGTTTCAGACAAGGGAGAAAGGGAGCCGAGGGGGGCAATCCCCTCCCCCCCAGAAAAAAGGGTCACAATCGTTTGAATAATGAGAGAAAGGCACATTTATGATTGTTTCATTTCTTCAAAAGTGTGTAAAAAGCCTCCAAATGTAACCCCACCCCTCAGAAAGTCACATAAGGTTACATGAAATAATTGTTACATTGTTTGGCCTTCTCCAAAACAAGTTTGCCCCACCCCTTGAAAATTTGGTTCGGGATCTGTCTGTGGTTGCAGAGATTGTGGTCCCCTCCCCATTGCCCATAGCAATGCTACTGCTGGAGTTGAGGAAATGCAGCCAGTTCAGTGGTCAGCCACGTGGAACTTTCTTTGTTGTTTTCATCAGAGCATGCATCACTGAAATATTACAGAAGCATGGAGGGGCCACAACCAAGTTTGTTTTTGAAACGTCTAACTCGCCATGGCAACTTGCTGTCTCACAAGTGGCAAGTTAAGCATCTTGCCACAGGAAATAAACTTAGATCATCAGTCGCGAGAAAGTAATCTCTCACTGTGGCAAGATACTAACCGGATGCTGTTATGAGTGACTTACTTTCTGAATCTAAGTTTAACTCGCTGCTAGCTCACTGTGAGTTGTTACTTTCTCATGAATGATCATCTGAGTTCATCTCACTGCGATGGGTTTCTGTCTCGTGAAGGTGGTATACTAAACCCTCTGCAATGAGATAGCAATTTGAAAAAAAATTTATTGTGGTCCTGTGCTTCTGTGGAAAACAAAATTTGACGGTGAATGGTAAAAAGTTGCATAGGCACATCTGTGTAACGCAGGGTCATGACACCATCACGGGTTCAAATCCTACCCCTGTGAGCCCTTAAGTTCTGGTCCCGCTAACTTGGTAACCAAACATTCCTTTTCCCTATACCGTAGGTGGGTTTGATGACAGCTCCCCTCTGAACTCAGTGGAGCGATATGACCCACGGACCAAATGCTGGAGCAGTGTGAAGCCGATGTCGGAGTGCCGTGGAGGCGTGGGCGTCTCGGTCATCAGCGGAAAGATCTACGCCATCGGTGGCCACAACGGGTCCTCCTACCTCATGTCTGGAGAGTGCTACGACCCAGACACAGACAAGTAGGTCTAACCCCTGAAATGTTTCTAATTGCCTTACCCTGAGCTGTTAAAATCAGTGTATGGGCGCTTTCTTCCTCCACGGCTCAGAAGTGAGCAGAGAAGAGGAAGGGAATAGTTTGTTTGTTTAGAAAAATTTCATGTATTAATCAGGTAGGCGCTAAAAACCCAATTCACACTGTGGCGATTAGAAATTAAGCTCAAGTCGTCAAAGGGTAAAGTTCGTCGTTTTGTTTCGAATGAAGTTCTTTTTGTTTTGTACATGTACGTTGTTTCTGGTTTTTTTTTATTTTTCGTTTTAGGTTATGGATTCTGCCCCTTCGTCACACATTCAAGAAGTCCTCTCTAAATCACAGGGGTGTGAGAATTCAGCTTTTAAGCTGATTTCAGCCCTTTCTTGTTAGATGTTGACCCTGAATTTCAGCATTTTTGTGCACCTGCTGTGTACAAACATATGAGGACTTCTTACATTTCAACTTGTTGCTAGCCATTTTCAGATTTAATTTTTAGTGGCCACTCACACAACTGAAATAAGCATTTTTTAAAAATGCTGTCAGTGATGTGCTATCCCATTTTGTGCCTTGATGAAGTATGTCCATCCCTAATTCATTCAATGAAAAATGTTCAACTGCTTCCAGACTTACACTATCTTCAAGATTGTTAGGCATGATTTTATTGATATAATGCTCAGCAGAAGAGAGTTCAGGGTATGGTAGCACATACCAAATTTGTTTCTTATTCTCAAAAAGATTTTCAAGTTATTGTCAGACAAACTTATCGATAAGCGTACTTGTAATCCGGGTTGCATCATTAATTCTAAAGAAGTATCATGGCACAGATCTTTTACTGAAAGATGACAGGATCTCAAATGCACAGCCTACTTCTTGCAAGCATTAAAGATGGAACCGAAGCCAACGAGACGGGTTACCTGATCATTGTAACTTGATCATTGTATGGTAACTATCAGTGTATTTATTTCTTCTTTGTTGTCTTCCTCAGATGGACAGCGATCAAGGACATCAGCACGTGCCGGGCAGGGGCCGGGGTTGTGATCTGCCACTGCCTAGTCCAGTCCCTGAAGGACATTGGCAAGAACAGCCGCGTCCACAGCTGTGTATGATGGACCCAGGAATTGGCCTAGAGAGAAGAGACGATTCCGAGCTGTTAAACCTTGATGAAGTGGGGGAGAGCCCAACCGGGCCTTCGGTATATTTACCAATCATTGACCAATCCTGCAAATTGGAAGGACCGAGTGAGGGATGCTGCTTAGGATCTCTGCCTCTGTTAATTTTTACACACTGAGACTTTACAAAATTCAACTGTGCCTTGATCATCGGTCTTAGTGTGTTGTGGGGTCTTAATTCTGTGGTAAAGATTCCCACTCTACGTAGATGAGGTACTCCTATGACCACGGATGCTTCCCAAGTCAGATTTGTACTGGTGGTTACTTTAGCGATTTGATTGTTTGTCTAAACTGTTCATTTTCTTTTGTAGATTGACATAATGAATTTTCAGTGTTGTTGTTTCCAACATCTTGTTTTGTGCTTTCTGCAACATTATACTTGTGGTAGAATCATCCACCAGCGCAGGCTGCAGTTTTTTAAATACTGCACTGTGGTAGGAAAAGTTACAAGTTGCCACTTTGCTAGGGCGTCACTTGGAACACATGTTATGGCACCCAGACTTTTCTGTAATGTAATCTGCAGAAGTCATATGATGGCAGTAGTTAGCAAACCGAGGGTGCCTTTTTTTCACACTTCTAACACTAAGAAGTCAACATCATTGGTAAAGAGACCTTATATTTACAGGTCGGCCATATTGAAGTGAAAGCGAAGTTAATTTTTCATTTTTTGAACTGAGGAGCAAAAATGAATAACGAAATAAAAGCTCACTTTCAAATTAATGACAGTTTATACTGAAAAACAAAAGTGAGACTTGGAACCCCAAATAGTCTGGCACTGCCCCACTTATTACAAATCACATTGATCATAAATGGCTTCCCCTTGAATAGGATCTATCTTTGTTTGGGTATTTGCCTTCTTCTATGCATTCCTGAGAACATCTGGAACTTCAGTGAAGTGAACAGAAAGGCCCCTTGTTATTTGGGCTTTGTCTTTTTTGTCAAGTATATTTTGATTGCCTTGCTTGTCCATGTAAAAAGTACACCTGTAAATATTTGTACATGTGGTCTGAACAACAGTTGTATTTAACAGACACTGAACAGTCTGTGGTTTTGCTTCAAAGTTAAGTTCTGCTCGTTTGAAAGCATGCTTCTTACATCTGCCTTGCTCTTAGCATGTTGTGCTCGCTCTTCTAGAAGTCTGGCTGTTTTGTTCATATTTTATAATGCATTTCCCGTAACTTGGATTTTACTTAAAGAAATCAGAAAATAAGTGTTGTGCGGGAAATGTTTAAAAGATTGGGAACTACATGTGTGATTAGTTACTATTTCAATTTGAGCACATCACCGGAATTCGGTGTGCTTTCTTTTCAAACGGATGTACATGTATTTCAGAGAAATCAAAGAAACATGGCTGTGCTTTAAAGACTTTAAAGATGAATGTTTTGGCCTAAAAATAGTGTCACATGAATGAATGTCAATAGAGGCTTTGTGTGGTAACCGTGTTGCAGGGCAGTTGTTTGTTCGATAGGTAAGGCCGTGTCCGAATTACTTGGCTGTGACCTGAAATTACGCACGAGTCTATGGTAGTGGCTGCGGCCAGTTCCCATAGAGTCGCATGTAATTTCAAGCCTTAGCCAAGTAATTCAGCTAAAACCTCCTTTGTGCATAGCCTGTGGAACTGGCCTGCAAGATGGCAGCCATGCAAGCCCTCTATAATGACCAAGGAATTCTTCATTCTCAGGTATACCTGCAGTGGTGCTTTTTTGGTATCAGCAAATCTGGAATGGCAAATTCCATTTTGTCCTACCAGTCGTACAAAAAAAGGCTTCTTGTCCATGAGCAGATTTACCCTGACTTTACGAATAGGCAAATTTAGCGATGTTTTACTTGACATCAGGCATTAAGAGCGGATCATACCACAGGTGAATGTGAAAACAAGCAAATGTGGTGTCACAACAGATTTGCAGCAAAGTTTGGCTGGAGTTGAAGTATGTCTAACTTTTGGAAATTTGCAGCACAAATATTTGATCCGGCGTCACAAATTCGCAAGTATGAACAATCCTTTATGATGCTTGTTAGTTTTAACAGCCAGCACAATCAAAATAGTGTAAAACTAGCTATCAACATACAAAAAAAGCCCCAAGAAAACTTGAGGAATTTTCTTTTTCATCTGTGATACATGGTGGGAAATCTGAAATGAAAGCAGTTTATACTGGCTCAGTACTTACGAATAGTGATAATACTACCCAAAAATGATTGAAGTTGGTTGGGAAAACCTCGGCCAGTTTGGGAACACTTCAGAAATACTTACATTGTGGGGGCTAATGTGCTTGCCTGCAAAACTGTAGTCTGGGAACAAGTTGTCACAAAGTATTATGTATTCCCCCAGCAGTGTGTCAGATTTGTCAAGTGCGTGTTCTATAAAAATGGAACCAAATTTCAAGGTATTTTTCAAGGATACACACTTCTGATGTTAACAGTTTCATCGGCTCAAGAAAATCTGTGTTAACTGTTACGCATACAGATTTGTACTTTGGTAAATTTAAGACAATTTGCATATCAAGTGTATATTAAGTTTTCAAAAAACATGAGCCCTGTATCCCTAATTTCATATCTGAGTACTGTTTAAAAAATACAACAAATGTTAATTGTAACATTGTCCTTGCTTATGGAGGGCTTGGCCTTTGTTGGCACGCCCCCTTGTGTTCACATTGTATTTTTCTAATGTACATATGACTTTCATGCTGAGTGACATAGCCTTCTTAGCCTTTCAGAAACTATTCAGATATTAATACAGAAGTCTTCCGCCTATTCTAACAACTCTGTCTCATCAATATGCATTTTTTTCTATCAAAGAGAATTTAATTATGAATAATTGAAAGATTTCATTTTTCCAAGTAAATTCTATGAACTTTAATGAGCAATTCAATAATATTGTGTACAAACAGTGAAATATGCACCAATATTTCCATTGTAAAGTTAATTTTTGTGTATTTCTAAATAAAGGCAATGATTTTTCCAATTAATATTTAATAAATAAATAAAGCAGCTTTTGCAATGCATAGACAAAAAGTGTGTTCACTGCACCATTGAAGTTACTTATGTACACCATCTCATTATAAAAGGGAGAAAGAGAGGAACGAATGCAAAACAAAAATTGACGGTTGATAGTTCAAGTACTTTTGAAGATTGATGATATGTTTGCTGTTGAGCAGTTATCTTCATTCCAACTCTTGTTTCAGCTGCTTCGTCAACGTGTATTTCCGCAGCCTGGCTGATCACTCGGCAACCAATGACACCAGCCGTTTCCCCTTCCTGGTCCCGGGTGTTATAGCGGCACTTGCTTGCAGGTGGTTATCACACCGCCGACCCATCTTGAAGTAGAATTGACGACATTGTCACACTCTTTCGAAGTGCTGTTTCTTCACACGTATACGTTGCTTGTTTCGTTGATTGTGTGCATAGTTGAATTTGAATGATTTTAGGCGTCGCGGCTTTTAATTTATTCAAAGCGAAGTCCTTCCCCTCTGTGCTTATAATGAAAGTTTGAGCAAGAGAATATTCAGAGTCTGCGTTCAGAATCTGTTGCTGAGCATGGTAGAAAACCAGCACAGAGCCTATGGCATTCAACCTTTTTAGAGGTATTTGTGTCAGATGCGAAGTACCGCACTACCAGCCCGATATCCAACATTGGGGATCTACTCCCACAGAGTGTCAGTTCTCAAATTACTGCTCAGAATTAACTCAACATTTCCATATTGAGATGTATATTTGTTCAATTTAGGCAGAAGGCTGACAACCAAAAGAAACGAAAGAATATACAAGAGTTATCAAGTAAGACACAAATGAGAAAAACAGAAGCAAATACGGACGTGTATTAAGAAGACAGCTTAATGTCTTATCAAGACAAAAACTAGACAGGCCAAACTAACAGGTCATATTAAAGAAGGAATTTGTCGCTATTTTCTGCATTTTGTCACGTGCGTGAGCTTTTTCACGTATTTCAGTTCAAGTCAATTTAAAAGACTGCGGTAAACCCGGATAACAGCCCACTCGATCGGACACTAAATCTCCCTCACCTCGTCACCCCCTCCTCTCCCCTCGAAAACCAGGCTTAAATTTAACTTTTGGGGTTTGTGTTGAAAGAACGCATTGTGAAACTTTTCAACAAACCTATTACCGCGAGCAGGTGTTTCAGACAGTCGACATTCAGCATCGGAAGCGCGGTTTCTCCCGTGCGCACATCCTCTTCAAAGCCACTATTTGCCTCCCATTGTTGTTGCCATGGTTGCATCCCCTTGGTCCCGGTAACGACCGACAAAGGCTCCGACCAGCTCCCATTCTATCTACGAAGTCTCATCAGTCACCACTCGTGTATAGCCCGCGGTGCCCTGTCACAATTTGATAGTTCTCTCATCCGCAAGCCAGAATTCTTCATTATTGTTGCATTGCCATTAAAACGCAGTTTGTGCCCGCGAGGGTTTTACCGCGGGGCCCCTAATCATCTCGAGATGGAGGAAGGGGTTAACAGGACAACCGCCCCTGGGCATCCGAGCTTTGTCTCCGGTGGTCTCAACACACTCTGTAAGTTGCACTATTTTTGTACACGTCGTGTAATAATGCGGATGATTGGCAAATGTACGCTTCAATTTGGATCTCACAAAACCATTAACTTTTGTCCTCGCATTCATTTCTGACGCAGCTGTCTATTTGGCTACCGACACCTAATGCTTGCATGTTCAAGAGTCTGGTCATTTTAACATTAACTAGTTCTCCGTCTCCTTTCGAGCTTGCATCACAACTTCCAAACTTGGTAGAGACAACATACTGCTGGCCGTTTGATGATTCTATTCAGTTCAAATATCCGTGCCACTCCAATTGCAGTAAAATCTGGTTATCGCGCACAGAAGTGTTGTAACAAGCCTTGGTTGTCTCTCTAGATCAGCAAATGGAAAGGCGCAAATGGTCCATCTTATTCTCGTTGTGTCTGCTGCTTGCATGCTTCGGAGACCAAGCTGGTAAGTTAATCATTCAATTGAAAAACAACTAGCATTGTTAACAAGTGATATACCCAGATGCAGATCCAGCGAGTGGTTGGGGGTGGGGGTCAAACCCCTCTTCCTACCAATTGCCTGTTTTTCAGTGGGCTTCGTCTAAAAGTTGGAAGACCACACATAAACCACACAGTGGTCTTATTTTGCATATATGATCAAGGACTAAACAGAGGGTTTAAATGGCTTCACCAACGGCGACTACCATACATGTAATTACCCCCCCCCCCCGAACAAAATTTTCCGACCTTCCCCCCCCCCAAAAAAAACTGGATCCGCTCCCGGGTAATAACGTTTACAAATTGAAAATTAGGAAGTATACTCTTCGGAAATTCATTCAGAAGTAAATCTTCTTTTATTTTGTTTAATTTTTTTCTCAGGAGGGTGAGGACATCCTGTTAATTTCATGTAAAGTAAATAAGTTGCATTATAACCATCGTTTTCATCCATAAAGTGGAAGCCTGACGGGCTGTTAAGATCGCGTACACTATGCTTACAGAGGGAATGGGATTCAAACTAAAATTAACGATTGCGTGCATACGGGCGCAGGAACATAAAAAATGGCTGCAATACAAGCTCGCTGTGAGAGTTTAAAAAACAGAAGAATATGTTATACTTTGAAAAGTAAAAAAAAAAAAAGACGATTGGAATGCCTGTGCTGTATCGGAGTGTGTATGGGAGGGCCACTGTGCTTCAGTCGCGCGTATGCCATGCGTGATGGCGGGGGGGGGGCTAAAAAGTCGAAACACCTGATCAACATCAAAGTGGAAAGGAGAGCGAAGTGGAACGGAGAGTAAAGTGGGACAGAGAGCAAAGTGGGACGGAGAGCAGCGTTTAACCACTTGTTAAAACGGCAATGACTGGGAATTTTACTAATGTTTCAAGAGTTAGGGCATGCGGCTTGTGTAGAGGGTAGCGTAATTACCAGTACGTTGCGTTGAGCTAGTTCGTAAGTTTCAATGAAATGTGGAAACCGGACTATGTTCGCACTGAACGATGTTGCTGGCAAACACGTACGTCTTATACTCTGAGATAAAATACACAAATGTCCTAATCAATACTGTGGTTTTCTTCCAAAAGGACAGGAAAGAACATGCCTTACCCTCTCGATCACAAAAAAGTCTCCATAGAGTGAAACGGAAAAGAAAACGCAGTAAGAAATCTTCTGACGTGAACAAAATGATTTTCGGTGGTGTTCTTTCTCTCTGTTGGAGGAGACTATTAAGGAAAATGTTGTAGGGATTCGTTGCAAACCATATAATCCTATCATATAGCTGTTCCGATAAATACTTTGGTCGTAGACATTGATAAGCACGCTATACCGGTATATATTATAAAATAGGCTACTTAAGGAGCGAACAATCTGCCAAATCAATGTCTGGCACGGTTTCAAGACATCATCAGTTGAATTTTAAATCCATAATATGCGTGTTAAGAGGGTTCATTTTTTTTCTGATGCGAGTAACATTCTCCTTATATGTGTTCAACCTTTTCGACAGTTGCTCAGAAGACCTGCCCTGGACAGGATGGGCTCTTAACGGCTTGGACTGGCTACGTACGTTCAGCCAACTTCGGTAGTGCCGGCGCTAGCTACACCAACAACCTGGCATGCAGGTGGCATATCCGCGTAGCCGAGGGAAACCGCGTCCGATTGACAAAAGTTGACTTTGAATTGGAAGGCAGAGGTCCTGGCAACCGATGTTATGACTGGTTGAAGGTTAGTCTGCAATCTTGGACTCAGTTTTGGTATCAAACAAAACACAAAACAAAACAGCCATGTTCTGTTTACTTCGGGTAAGCATTTATGTCCATGGTATATCAAGTTGGCGTTGGAATGTGAAAATCTACCGTCTAGCCCCACCCATGAAAAGGGACACAGCACTTCGCATCTGGGGAATAGTTCCACTTTGGAAATCATAGTTTTGGTTATTTTAATCGCCAGTAGGTTTTTAATGGAACGCCTGATAATTTAAACAGGATTTTAGATAGGAAAAAAAGTTAGTATATACCTTGGCGACCAGGTTGAAAGCTATAGACAAACTACAGTTAATGTGCAAATCGAAATTTGTGATGGTCCGATATGAAATTCTTTCCTACGTGTGATAATGGCAAACCAGTTCAAATCGTGAAAACCGATGTTTGTCCCGTCTTTTCAGTTTCTTTTCCATCCCCCCTTTCCCCAATTTTTGTTTCGGGGGGGGGTTCCCCCAGGTGCGTTCAGAGTATATAGGCTTAACCAGCATAATATTATTTGAAAGAAAGTTATTTGTTGGTTGTGCTCAAATTTCCTTGATACATGCCAAGTCGGATCTCCAAAAACATCTTCATATGGCCGTGCACACAACACTCTTGAAGTATAGCTGTGCTTTTGAATTCCGTCCTTCCTCCATGGTCCTACCAACTTTCTCCAGGTGCAGACCCCCCCCCGCTCTGACATCAAACATGAATAAAAATGAATAAATAATAGGCCCAGTAAAAAAATGACATCCCACAAAATGTTATCATTTGTACATGTATGTAGTTACCGTTACAAATGGGAGACTGCCTAGGTATATGAAGGTAAGTGCTGTGACAGTGTACATTGTAATGCATTATACCACTACGTCCGCAAGCAATCGGACATAAACATAACTTTGACAAGCTTGTCCTTCTTACAAATTTCTATATCCGCCCCTGCAAGTCAGTTCTCTTGTCCAGCTTGTCTTATCTTTGAGTCTTGAACAGTGGGAACACAAACAATTAATGCATATTTAACAACGAATAGTAACCATCATAGAACTACAAAAAAAAGTAAAAGCCTTATTTTTGTCTAATTAACTGGATGCCAAACATGGTAATCTTGCATTTGGTCTAATTGTAACCCTTTCCATTATTTGACCCGCTCGATGTGCAGGTCTATGATGGATCTGATGAGACAGCCCCTCTTATTGGTCAATATTGTGGCATGGAATTTCCAAACGAAATCATGTCCACCGGAAAGTCGGTGTACCTGCATTTTGAAACGGATACCACCGACAGCTTTCGAGGTTTCAGTATCAACTACGCAGGTAAAGGCAGGATCCCATCTGGAAATCTATGAAATCGATGGATGATTTTCTTAATACAAAGACCAATTCTACATCACTAGGGGTGCCAAGCCTACTACCTCACGTCCCTTAAGCCTTGCATATTGATGTCCTGTGTTGTGATCTGAATTCTCTCTCAGAAGTTATGAAAATAAATAGATGTGTAACACAACTGAGCAAATTTTCACTCCTAAAGTAAATATGTATATGCTGTGCATAGTTGTGTGAATCTGTTCAGGAAAAACACAGCAATCTATGTACTGCTATGCAAACAGTTAAAAAGGGAACTTGACGGGAGAGTAATTGTTAGCCTTATTGTGGGAAGACGCATTCAGATGCTCTTAAGTTAACTCGTATAACACGTTACAATATGCTTTTGGAACACAATTTTGTCACCAACGTTATTTTCAATTTCACCGATTTTCAACTCCAAATGTTGGATTTAAAAAAAAAGGGAATATATATTCGAATAATCGGCAACGCCCCTGGCCATAGCTAGACAAAAAAGCAATTAAAAATGTTTGGGAAGGTCCCTTATCAATTTACATTTGTATTACAAAACGAACAAATGGGAAAAAATTAAGCAATACAATTCCAATCAAGAGTTGCCCACACCCCCACTTTCAAATTTTCTTGAAGGCGTTTGCAGTGGTTTAACCATCGACGTCCCAGTTGACGGGACTGGATTGATCGAGACTCCCCTATACCCAGCCAATTATCCAGCTTTGATTACCTGCGACTGGACCCTGCAAACTCAGCCAGGCTACCGCATTGACGTGGACTTTGAAGTCTTTGATCTCGGCTCTGCTAGCAACTGTACAACAGCGTACGTCCAGGTAAACGATCGAGTCCTGCTCGTGCCTCAACAGCGAGGCACTTGAAGCATATCTCTTAGGCCTAATTCTCCTTTCAAAAGTGACCAGGGTTGTTGGAAAGTAGTTTTGTTGATTTTGTTTCAATTTAAATTGTGAAAAGGCATTACTTACAGCAAAAGTACATTATGCCAGATATCTTGAGTGATAAAGCTTTGGAGAAAGAAAGACACATTCTTTGAAGAAAATTCTCTCCAGACAGAGCTTTGTTTGAACTTCAGGATGTCTCTGGTGGTATTTGCTGGAGTGCCCTTGTGTAGAATTTTCAAAAAATGGTTAATTAAAAGAAGACAAAACGTATTGGTTGCAGTTTTCTAAAACAAAATACAGATTATGGTGTAGGTGACTTTGCAAGAAGGTAATGGATCAGACACCCACATAGAATGACCTAGCCTCCCTTTCCAGCTGCTCGTTTGTCCACCGAGTGCTGAAACTCATTTCCTAGCCACGAACAGTCGTTTGTCTTTATTTGTATGAGCAGGTCGTGCCGTTCCTTATGCACCTGTTGTCTCTTCCCGTCTAACATTATCCACTCATTTCGTTCCTCATCCTTGTTAATTGATTGCCTTTGTGTCCTTCCTCCACGTTAATATCAACAACCTATTGTTATCCTTCAAAGCATCTGCAATACTACTCTTCTTATAGGAACAATGTTGCGCCTCTTAGAAATGGTCATTTGAAATACAATTAGGCCATGGCTTGTGTTTGGAAATTCCCAGTCCTAATTTGTCTGCATGTGCAAGATTTGTTTTGCAATGATCTCAGCACCAGTTGGTGAAAGACATGCGACAGTCGATCTCGTTTGTTCTTGGGGTGAAGAGCGCCATCTACCATTTTGACTAGAGTTGACGGTATATAATTCAATCTGAAGTCTTGCACATCACGGTTTTCACCATTAATTTTAGGAGCAAAAATGGTTTAACAAACTAAATCCCTACGTGAATTACATTCGCCCACGAAACACAGCCAAGTGTTTTGCGGAGGGAAGAATCCTCGAAGAAACCCTCATGGCAGAGGAGAGACACCGTACCATTGAATGTGAGAGAAGATCGCTTAGACCTTAGTTTCCAGACGTGTCTCTCTGACAAATCGTACCCACAGGTCTACGGCGGATCAGACACTGCAGCAGACAGACTGGCGAAATTTTGCGGGGCGGAGCTACAGACAGCGTCCCCCCTTCACGCTGTCAGCTCCTCAAGTAGCACTGCACATTTGACCTTCAAGGGTGCAGCGGAGCCTGGAACAGGATTCCGACTAGCGTATTCCACAGGTAACTAATGAAGAATAAAGTTGCAAGTATTGAGAGTAAAATTTTCAAGGTCCCTATTAGTTTTACTGCGACAAATGAGGATCATTCTTGTTAATTAAATTTCCAATAGCAGTAATATTTATTACGAGTGCTTCAACCTCTTGAAATCAACTTTGCTCAATTTAAAATTGACTGCATCCGTTCTACTTAAAAGCACAAATAACAATTGTCAGGGATGCTGCTCGGCGGTTGTCACCAGTACTTGTTTATGATTGTTCATCATTGCTTCAGCATTATTACGATCTTTGTGGTTGCAAGCAACTATGGCCATCGGCTCTTGTCAAGTTTGTTGTTTTTGTTTGTTTTGGCCCTTCAGTGCCAAAATGTGCCCCCGATGAGCTATGTTGAGCAAAAATACTTCATTAAGTTTCTTTTATCAGGTTTATGTAAACAGTGAATTACACTAATGGGAAAATGGTGACGATGTACGTTAGTATACCACAAGATTAAAAACAAATAATTTGTAGGGCCTTGCAGTAAACTTTGGTTCAAGGGAGAAATTGACTTAAGTGGAATTTAACCCTGGATCTCTGTAATATTGCTCAAGTTCTCTACCAATGCAGCATCACATTGGCAATGTCCCAGTTGGTTAATGTCAAATGTGAATCTGAGGTCCACTCATCAAACTTTACACAACATTTTGTCAATGAAGACAATAGAACTTGGAAATGGCATTCATGGATTACTCAGGCTCAATTTTGTTTTATTCCAATACATTACTGTAGCAAGAAGTCAATATCAGTTCCCAATAGTAGAGTTCCATAGGTAGGTGAAAGAAATTTGGACAGGCATCAATGTGTGTTAAATTTATGTAATAAATTATGTTGTTTAGGGACAATCAAAGGTTTGTTCATGAAAACTATTCTCTTGGTAAAGTAAAATGCAAGTGCTACTGATACAAATGCACAAAAGAATCCCCCAATTTCTCCTCCTGTGCTCGTCAAAAGAGGTCCTGGGTTGTACGTCCTCCCCTTGCCAGAATGGGGGGAGTTGCACCAACGTGGATCTAGACTTTACTTGCAATTGCACTCCGGGCTGGAAGGGCAAGGCTTGCGACCAGAACATTGATGATTGCCAGCCCTGGCCTTGCGGGCAGCATGGGGTGAACTGTCAAGACCTCGTCAACGGATTTACCTGCACCTGTGTTGCGGGTTATGACGGGCCGGCGTGCGACGTAGGTACGTGTGTGCGCAGACAAACAGTGGAAACCTGTTACCCCCCCAAAAATCACGCATGTTCACTGATGCACTGTCATCGCGACCGGAAACCCGTATCACTGATTTCCTCTGTGTGTTGACATGCACCACCGATTCTTTTGCACGTCTTGGTTTGACACCTCCCAATCACAGCAGTGCAGTGGTCTATATAGCTACAGGAGGCTGGTTAGCATTAGCTGAAGTAGCCTTACCTCATGTCACACTTTACACCAACACCCTGTCCACCCTTTGACAGATTTTTTGACCCCCTCCATCCCAACCTTTCACAGCCGACATTTTATAACAGAAAGAAGAAGTTACTTTCTTACCTGGCCAATTGACATTCTGTTGGCCAGAACAGGATGCATGTGCTGTTAAGGTTCACAGTTGGCACGCACAAAACAGGCTGTCCAAATACCAGGCACGAAATGGGACAAAGGGGTACCCCCCAACAAGTTCAATCCCTATACACACTCCAGCCTTTTGTCCCTTAACACATCCCCCCTAGGTGTCTGAAAAGAATTCCTGAGATAAAAAGTATAACAATGACCAATACAAAGGCTGGTGGGGTTCTCTCTGTCACAAAATGCCCACTTCTTAGCGTACCCCTCAGGATTCCCATGTCACGCACGGCATAACGCAGTGGTTCCACCCCCATATATGCATTCCATGATTCTCGGACTTGTAATTTAATACAGCTCTTTGGACTAAGAGCTGAAAGGTACTTTGTTATAATGATTTGTTTAATGCGTTCCCAGGTGAATCAAGTTTGAGAAATAACTCTAATTTTACAATAATTTATGAAAAGCAGAATTGGTGCTTTAGGTTTACATGCATTGCCTGGGACCCTTTCACACGCAAGTTGTTTGCAATAGCAACAATGCCACCATCCGTGTATCCTGCAAGAAGAGCTCTAAATGTTTGTATGTGTAGAAATGTACAGGGTCTGCCTGAGGGCTGCACCAGGCACAATTGGTGTTCAAGGGAGGGCCAAGGGATGCTTGAGTGCAGAACCCATAAGGTTGGATGACAGTGGCATATTGGATTTTTTCCTGAAAACGACGATCCATTTTTTTCTTTACCTGTACAAGAATCCTCATCCCTGCCCCAAGGTTACTGATAGATGGTGTACCATTTCTGAAATTCCAATAATTTCAATTCAGTTAAAAAAGGGAAAAGAATTGGCAACATATTTCCTTTTGCTCCTCCATGTGATATTCCACTGTTGGATGCTTACTTCCACTGTTTTGTTATTTGTAACTGTCAGGGAATGTTTCACAATCAGGATCATTCTGACTTCTAATGATACGGCTAAATTCAGTGGCCACTTTCCACATCGTCCTGTCAACCTGCAGGTGTGGGGAGAAACACAGTTGCCCCCAATGTACTTGAGACTTTGTGAACAGCTTCTGGTAACCAAGACTAGTCAATGAGCCTTTGGGCCAGTTCTTTTAGCTCATTGGCCAAAACTTTGTGGAATCTTCCATTACTAGAGAGGGGTGTTCGGAAAAACTTTGCGCAGCCTCCCAACACATTTGTGTACAGAACTTCAGCTGCAAGTACCGCAAGTCCCACAGCATGTAGTGGGAAACTAAACCAAGCTGCACCTCTTTTTTTAAGACTTGGGTAGACTGCTACTCCTTACAGAGCACTGAGGAATTCATTATTATCCTCCACAAACCACCCCTATTAATTGTATTTAACCTAGCCCAGTCATCAGAACCACACCTTACTCTGTGCATGTGACAGAACCAGACTGCATGCTGCACTTGTTAACCTCCCAAATGTAACCTTACAAGCCAATTTATTACAGGTCCCTTTGAACTGTCTCTTAGAGTGAAACAGTGGTCCTTACAATGAAAGCATCTTATGCAAAGGAGCAGTGTTTGCTATTTTTCAATGCATTGTGGTTTGTGTGGAAGTACCGGCCGAATCAGGGAAACTGGTCCATGATATTGGTTGAATTGACTACCTCCGGACATGAAGGAGAGTAGGTAAACTCAGCAAACACCTAAGGGCCACTTCATACTGTACATCTATCCCAGCAAACCAAGTTAAAGTGGGTTTTGCATGTCTGAAACTGAGAGGTTCATTCCTGACACAGTTGTCAAAGGCTGAACATGTTCTACACACCTCATCATAGGTGGAGTTATCAAACATTGCATGTTGTCACATGCATGCATGATGAGTGTTCATGCCCTCTTATGAAAATGTTACTTACGATTGAACAAAACTGCCGGGTAGCCAATAGTTTAAAGAAAATACCTGTGAATAATTTTTTAAAAATTTCTCTGACATGTTGGACCATGTCACTAATAGAAGAGGTGTATTTGTTCATAAATATCTATGAGGTACTTGTAAAATTATATTTAAGTGCAAGTGTTTGTATGTATTCTTTCAATTTTCACAATGTATATACCCGTATCTTATAGTAATTCATTGCAAAAACATGTTGATGTACTTTCAGTTGCAACCCATGCTCCGGTTGTGTAATCTCTGTTTATGAAGTATGTGAACTATTTTCCAGGTAAACTAACCGTGCTCACACAAAGGAACTAGTTTTATTCAATTTATTCAATATCATTTAATGGACATTGAAGTTCTTTCCCGTGCCCAGATATTGATGAGTGTGTAAACCACCAATGTCAGAATGGCGCGACCTGTCTGGATGGCATTAATGAATATTCATGTAACTGTGTCTCGGGCTTTAAGGGAACTCGTTGTGAGGAAGGTAATGCCGCCTGTTACTGGGGCTGTCATATTTTGACTTATTTCATGTGGACCCAAATTTATCGTAAAGTGTGGTGTAAGTTTACAACAGTTAAGCTCATTCCTGTGGGTCTCAAACCTGTTACTTCCCAGAAGTCACTCAGCTCAGAGCTTAGCAGAGTTGGCTGACCAGATCTAATCAGTGTTGCTTCATATATAAGATATTATGCTTACATAAGGCAAAAACTTTACTTGGATTTAGCTGATCAAAGAAACCTCTAGCTGAATGGGGAGTTGGAACCCTAGACCTCTGGGCTACCATTCTAGTGCTGTACCCACCAAACAATATCGTCGTTATAACAAACTGCATTTCAGTCACTGAAAATGTTTCTTTTTGGAAAAACTTTGATTACATACTGTGCAGTCAGTCACTCCCAAAAACCACATCAAAACTTCACTGGATGCCTGCAAATCAGAATGTATTTTTTCATAATTTTGTGTTTTTAACTTGTCCAGTGGATGACTGTGCCAGTGCACCTTGTCAGAATGGTGGTAGTTGCCAAGATGGTGTTGGGATGTTCTTGTGCACATGTGTGGCTGGCTATGAAGGAACACAGTGTGAAATTGGTAAGATGCTATCAACCCAACGGGGCATCCAGAACCATTTTCTTTAAACATGATTTTGGAAGGAAAGGAACTAAAATACTCTCTCAAAATTGTCTTTTGCTCTTTCTACTCTCACAAAACTTGTCTCATTGACAAGATAAAATTTATTTTGCCAGAGTGTCTTTAACAAGAAGAATTGACTCGTCAAAAATACAGATTTTCAAAGAGCTCGCAGAAAAACAACACACTTGCTCTAATGAGATTTAAACCAATAACCTCCACCTTACAAACACACCTGTCTTTACCACTTGACCACTAAGCTGATCCAGGTCAGATTATTGGTTTGATTCTGTAGGTCAGTAGGTACTGCTGTTAACAGCTTAACTGTTCAAAGAACGTTGTCAATTTCTTGTCAGTGCGACCACAAGGGCTAGTTTTTGTCATGACATTTTTGTCACAGTATTTTGTCGGCAAAATCACTGATGTTATTCAGTTTGTTTTGGTTTTACTTTGTGCCAAAAATAAAGTAATTTCCAAAAGTGCTGATAGAACTAGGTTGTCTGATTCCTCCAAAAATCAAATGTTTGAAGGAAAGAAAGTGTGAGGTCATAGGTTTTTTACACTGTGAATGCAAAGCCTTGGGAATCTTCTTTTTTTCCAGAGGTAGGAAAAAGGGATGAAGTGTCCGAAATTTGCATAATAGCTGTCAAAATGTAAACACTGATTCAAGGAGATCAACATGTGAATTTCCGGCAGTCTGTCACAGTAAAAAAAAAAGATGATAATATTTTTGGGAAAACTGATGGAATCGGCTAGGAACCGACTACATCAACCACAGCCTGGAATGGATTTAAACCCGATTCCCCTATGTGGAAGCCAATGCACTCTCCCAAGGCTAACCTCTTTATTTTTAATAGATACGAATGAGTGTGCCAGTTCCCCATGTATGAATGGTGGCACCTGCACTGACCAAGTCAATGGATACTCATGCTATTGCCCAGGATACAGTGGCTCGCAATGCCAAACAGGTCAGTGCAGAACTCTCACTTTGAAAGCCTTATTGCTTCCATTTTGTTTCCATATTGCTGTATGAGATGCAGACAACATAACATCAACCAACTGTTTCTGATTATATGCAGTTTGCATTATTATGACTGACACAGACATGGATACAGACAGTTCATGAAGCTGGATAACGTGCAACTTTGATGACCGTCTCTGTTGAGTAGTGTATGTAGGCCCATGCGTGCACATGACCTTGTATGATGTCATACAACGCGGTTCCTCTTGCTTGAGTACATTACTGCATATTTAGCCCAATGGCATATTTTTCCTCATCACTGTTAGACATGAATTCCCTGTTGTCAACAAATAGCTATGCCATCAAATGAAGTACATTGATGCAAGTACTAGTTTAGTGAAATGGTTCAAAACCACTTGAAAGTAGCATTCCTCAGAAAATGTTTCAGTTTCTAACACCAATTCGTTTCCATTTGTCACACTTTCTGTTCCATAACTGTCCACATATTTGCATCTTACCAGCTGTCAGCAATCATTGGACCCCACGGAAACTAGGTTTAGTGACGTGTACCTGTGTTACTCAGTGAGGCATTGGTATACTCAACCATACCAAAATCATTGCAAATCGCCACAGCCAGTTTTTGAGTTAAAGGCCTGTAAAAGAATCCAGAACAATGGAAATCCATTGAAACCCCTCAGCATTTCTGTTCCTGTGCAATGATCATTTTCTTCAGGCTGTCAGACTGATCTCAATGTACTCTTTCTAATGGAAACTGACTAGGCGCTTACAAATAAATTATAAAGATGAACAAAGAAATTGACTGGAGCGGGATTTGAACCTGCAACCTCTGGAATACTGTACCGGTGCTCTACCAACTGAGCTATTCCCATTTGCCAATGCCTTTGTTTGGGGGTACCAGTCAGAAGTCATAAAACTTGAAACACCATATAGCCAGGGATCAGGCCCCAGTCACATGATGGGACCTGGGAAGTGGTGAACAGGGATCATTCGGGGATGATACTGCCTTTTGAACACAAATCATGAACAGACTGTATAGGAAAATCAATGATAAAGATGAACAAAGAATGGAAACTATTAACAAAATAACACTGGGACATGGTCACCTTTGGCATGACAGAAGGCTGACCTTGAAGACGGAGAGCGATTGCTTCGTTGCTTCACGTTGCTGCAAATTAAAGCCTGTGCAAGTTGATGTTCTTTATTAGTCATATTAGTGCAGACAAGACTGTACGTCCAAACTTCTTCCCCAAATTTGGGTAGAATAACTTTTTGCTTCAACTGTATAATGCAGTCTTTGTTTATAAACTTTGTGACAAATGTTTCAGGAATTTTCTTCGCATTGGCATTTATTTCATTTTCAGATCAACCTTAAAACAGTTTATAATGATAACAATAATTTATTCATTTATAAAGCGCAAATTTCATATAGATATGTTCATATGTGCCGTACAATGAAGAGATTAAGCGTGGAACAATGAATACATTTAAACATGGTTGAGCCGATGGCATACAAGGGTGCCTTTGGCAGCCGTCAAACCACCCAGATTTACCAACATCAGTAAAACGAGACAGTAAGAAGCAGGTACAGTTTTAGAGGTGGGAGGAAAACCCTAGAGGAATATTCTGGGTAAAACCCACGGAGTCATGTAGGGACTGAAAACCCAATCCACATGTGGACCGGGCTGGGAATTGAACCCGGGACCACAGAGGTGGAAGGCGAGGAAAGAACTACCTTGCCAACCTGACAGTTGATCTAAGCCCTGAAAGTTTTCCTCGGAAAATGTCTTGGAACAGCAGTTAATTGGATCTTTTCCACTGTTTTTCCATTGTCCATTGGAATCAGACATTGACGAGTGTGCTAGTAGCCCATGCCGTGAGCATGGAACTTGTGAGGACCAGATTGACGCATATGCCTGCCACTGCCAGCCAGGGTATGTGGGTGTCCACTGTGAGACAGGTAAGCTCAAACTGGAATGGTCTCATCAGGATTTGTCATCATATTACTTTAAAATTGAACAATCGGGCAGACATTAAAAAAAATTCTAGCTGTCAGTTAATTAAAAATTAATTAATGAGAAACAACGCATCTTGCATTTTCTGTCAAGTGCACAAAACCTGGGATTCTTGTTCCTAGTTTTGCATACAATGTATTTACACCTCCACAGATCCAAGAATGTAAATCAACCCTGACAGGTTCGTTTGTGATAATAATCAAGTTTGTCAGCTAGGCCACTTTTCAATTAGCTATATTTGATGTATGTCAAAGTAGGGCTTAACCACAGTTAAACTCTCAATGTGACCTGTTATGATTGTCAGTTTTATACTCAGGTGCAAAACTAAATTCTTGTCCTTACAGACATTGACGAGTGTGCCAGTGGTCCCTGCCAGCAGGGCTCGACCTGCTTTGATATGGAGGATGGATACCAGTGTGTTTGCCCACCAGGCTATGATGGAGTCCACTGTGAAATCGGTAGTACAAGACCATCACAGTAAAAATTCTCTTGACTGAGTACGAATGTGGGTTAAAGTTGCTGCTAAAATCCACACAGAATATTCTTAAATCTTTAAATTTTTAAATGATTATTGGATCGGATTTGATGTCCCAGTTTTAAAAAAGTTATTACTTTTACAACTTTTTCAACCCTAGACATAAATGAATGTTCAAGTAGACCCTGTCTCAACGGTGCATCATGTCATAATGGCATTGATGAATACAACTGTAGCTGTGCAGCTGGCTATGAAGGCATCAACTGTCAATCAGGTATTGATGGATTCAGTGACTGTTGCGTGTTCATATTATATTTATATTTGTACAACACATGCACTTAAGGATGTCAGTTTTTACTTGCACTCATGAAAGAAAGAAGTCGACATGATGTTCACGTCGGCCACCTGTTTGGTTCAACTTATTCAAACCTTATGATAGTGTCATTTCATGGGACATTTTCAGGTGCCTACAGCCAGCGGCATATCCAGTTTTTGGTGTCGGGGGAGGGGGGCAAATTCTAAAGTAAGTGGCTTCAGGTTTTTCAATATGATGTTGGGAGAGAAAAAATATCAAAAACCTTACTCAAAAATCCGTCAGTGGGGGCAAGTTGTCCCCCCCCATCCACCCTACCTGCTGGATATGCCACTGCTTACAGCCATTGGTGGGGGCCACTGCAAAGACCAGGGATAGTGTTATCATGGTCTCTGAATTCATCTGTGTTCAGGCAATAAAGAGAATATGGGTAATTCCAAAAATGAGGGGGCCATTTTTGTGTGTGTCTCTGTCACATCTGACATATGATTTTGTAAGTTCAGAACACATTTTCTACTTTCCAAGAGTAATGAGTGAATGCAAATTACCAACCAAACAAATAGTAATAGTTTGCAATCAATTCCTGTGATATTTCTATGTCAATAACAAAGGTCAGATGTAAGGGACACAAAAATGTCCCACTTTTGGAACCCTAATTTCTGGAATGACCCATATTCAAGGTGCATTCCTCCTTGCTGGCAGTGATTGACTAGAACTGATGATACTCAACAAATTTTTGTAACAATAACAGTAAGTTTGCAAGACATTCAGAGTAATTTTTTTTTCTCGATTTCTCTTTCTTATTCAGCCTGCCAATTCAAATTTCTAAGTCATATTTAGGACCTACTGTGACATAATGGACATTTCCGTTTGTTGGTCGAGTCTGAAAAAAATGGTTTCTTGTCCTTTTTTTTTAAAGGAGCACAAGTTTCTCATTCATATTTTGTTATTACAGCGAATTTTTCTTCATTGATTGATTGATTTTCTGGAATATTTTACTGAACTTTCACCCAGCTATGTTGTTTTAAGCAACCAGAAAGTCAAAATATTTAACAATCTAACACACAAACAAAAAAGGCAAGTCGAGATGAGAAGTTATATTTTTTTCCTGTGCTTTATCTGTCTTGTTTGTCTTGACAGATATTGATGAATGTGCCAGCAGTCCGTGTCAGAATGGTGCAATATGCGTGGATGCTGTTAATGGCTATTCCTGTAACTGTTCCCTGGGCTACAGAGGAGTTCACTGCCAAGAAGGTATCTGTTGAAAATCTGTTGGTTGGGGTTGTTCACTATGTTTCCTGACTGTATTTCTTTGCTATATCTATGGTTGTTTTGTCTTTGGTCTAAAATTAGAGGTAAAAAATTAGGAATTTAACATCAGATATTCAAAGCCACATTGGGGGAAGATAAGGGTCACTTTTGAGAGCTTTTGTGTAAATTTGTGGGGAGATTGTCAATTTTTAGTTGATTAGATAAATTTAAACTTTTTGTAATTCTTTATTGTTTTTGTCATCTCAGACATTGATGAGTGTGCTGGTAACCCGTGCCAGCATGGCTCGACATGCAGAGATGAAGTCAACCAATACCGATGTGCCTGCTTACCAGGCTACGATGGAGTTCACTGTCAGAATGGTATGTTTAAATGTTATTCTCATCATGTTATAATTCAGTAGAAAATAAAATGTCATTTTACAGATCAGGTTTCTTAAATGGCTTGTCAAAATATGGTTAACTCATCCGGAGCTTTGGTTCTCAATATCCATACTCAAATCTTTCTCTCAATATTGAGAAATGGTTTTCTCAATAATGAAAAAAATTAAATTTTTAAAACCAGCAGGTGAAATACGTAGCTTTGTTGGCTTATAAATTTTGCAGATATAAATGAATGCGCAAGCAATCCGTGCAAACACGACGGGACATGTGTTGACCAAGTGAATGAGTACAAATGCAACTGCAAAGCTGGCTTAATCGGCCTGGACTGCCAAACAGGTAAACTGCTAAAGATCCTGTCGGTCATTGGCTTGGCATGCAATTCTATGCATGCGCTGGTCTGAATTGAAGCAGGTGCCAAAAAACTAGAGGTGTACTGAGTAACAGAAAGTGGTGAGCGCAACCATTGTTTTCACTACTCATTCTGTAGAGTTTTCAGAAGAAGAAGTTTGTAATGTAGCCAGGAAGGGAGCGTTTCATAATCGTTGAAGGCAGTATTTACTGCGGTACCGCTGGTTTTTTTTTAGCGGCACCGCACTAGTTACCCGAAAGGGCTTAATGCTGGTACCGCAAAAATACAGTGGTACTGCAGTAACTACCACCCTCTGTAATTATGAAACGTTCCCTGAAGCAGTGTTTATCAAAGGGCTGAAATCAACAGCAGGGCACATTGCTTTTTGGGAAAAGGTTGACAACACGTGACTCGGTCACATAGCATAAACACAGCTCTGCATCATGGTAATCTCGCGCACGCCTTCACAATCAAATATTGCAATAGCTACTGCTTGTTATACTGGATGTCACAGTAATTCAAAATTTGTCTCTGTGCGTCAACTCACGTTGATCTCACTTGCAAGATATCCCCAGTCTTCAAAGCAAAGCAGCTCACCCTAACAGTCCTCCATCCTCTAATTTCAATGTGATTTTTACATACATCCTAGAGGGGTTAAAGGTAGTGTTACATAGTTGTGGATGTTGAGCCATGAGTCAGAAATAGATCTTTTTTGGAGGATAAACTCTGAGAGTACACCATATTGAGTATTGCTTCAATTCACAATTTTCATTTTTCAAGTTTATAACATAAAGTAAGGACACAAAGTCCCCTATCCTACTGTTGAAATTTTTGTGGGATTTCAAATGCTTCTTATCTCACCCAGAAAGCTAATAAATGAACAGTGTCATTTCACTTCTCACTCCTCATCATAGATGCTGATGAATGCTCCAGCGATCCCTGCAAGAATGGAGCAACATGCAAGAACCTGGTGAACAGATTTGAATGTCACTGTGCAGATGGTTACATCGGGGAATACTGTGAAGGAGGTGAGCTAGGCAGGAATTGCTCCGTACTGTGTGAAAGCTTTCCACTCTGTCTAAAAACGGGCTTAAAGACATAGTCATATGTATTTTTCAAAGTTATGGGTATAATATTCATCGTCAGCTGGTGGCCACACATTTATACAAATAGACCTTGCCATTTTAGAATGCAGTGTGGTCTGGGATTAGGTTCACTTTGAGACAGTGCCCTGTATGTTAACGTGTACGTTGTCACATAGATAAATTTTGAGTGAAATACTGTTTGCTGACTTGGATTGATACAGCTGCTAGTTATCAATACAACATGGAAAATTGCAGTTTGAACACCCTTTTCTGGAAAGCCTGAGTAAGCCTCACCCCAAAACAATGCATCTGCTCTTTAAACTTTCGTTCACGAGTCACATGTCCAAGCAGGTTTGTAATGCTGCAGCCGCCTTAACACTGTGGAGCAATATTAAGGTTCTTTTTCTGTCTGTACTTTCCTTGTTTGTCAGAGGATATCGAGGCACTGTGTGCAGGTGGTCCGGATGGTATCGAGGGGAGTGGCTTGGTGTGGGATGAAACCAAACCTGGTGAGACCAACATGAAGCCCTGTCCAGAGGGGACAAATGGTAAGGACTAGAATCGCTGGCCAGAGAAAATTATGTTTTGGGACTTCTCACTTGTCAGTAAACTTCTCTAATGGTCAAAATTGTGCATTGAGTACAGAACCATTGAGGCATTTATATGAGGAGTTTCATCCTTCACCGGTGATACTTGTAGGGCTGTGCCGAATATCTGAATATTTGAATTCGAATATTCAAATATGATTTTCCAAATTTGAATATTTGAATGCAAAATTTTCTTTTGTTTCAAATGAGAAAAATTGCACTATGGAGGTTTTATTCAAGCATGCTCAAATGAAAGTGACAGAAATGTTACGACTCAAAAAGTTAATTATTCATTAAAAAATTTAAAAGGAACAAATTCTCATTTGGGCAAGAAGTACTGTTCGTCTTATAAATCTTGCTAAATCGTGGCTGGATATACTCCTAGATATGAGAAGGTATGATAGTGATTGTAATGTACATTGTGTGCATTATTTCCTCTAATTTTTTACATGGTTTAATCATCAACAATCTGCCTGTAAGTAAGACTGAATATTCAGACATTTGATCAAATTGAAGGTCGAATATTCAAATAGTGAATTATTCGAATTGACTCAGCCCTAACTATTTGTAATGCTTGTGTTTGTTTTTTCCCCTGAGTTATTATTACTGTAATTAATCATTTCTGGTAATGACACCAAAGATTGCTCAAAAGCACCCTAGGCACTGTAGCTCGCAAGCCTGAAGAAACCTGTAGAGAGGAGACATTGAGAAGCAATTGCAGTTTTAGAGGTGGGAGGAAAACCCCAGAGGAATATTCTGGGTAAAACCCATGGAATCAGGTAGGGACTGAAAACCCAACAGGATTTGAACCCAGATCGCAGAGGTAGAAGGCAAGGAAAGAACCTTTACACCAACCTTTAGGACAATCAACCTTGTTGATTGCATCATTATCCCCCCAAGGGTAGATTCAGACCCACCCTTTTATTCCGGGCCAAAAAATGGAGAATATCTTCGTCCAGATTATATCAAGTGTAGTGAGGAACATTTATCAAAGCTGTGGCATTTTGTGTTGCTGTATCACTGGTCCAAAGCCACCTGCTCTGGAAGGGGTTGAGGAAGCAGTGATGATTAAAAACCCAAACCAGTGGAAGTCATCTGAATGACGCTATGATCCACATGCACTCAAGGCTGCAGTTTTGATGAGCATCCTTAATTTGCATTGCCTTGAGAGGGGGCAGGATGCACATTGTTGGAAGTCAGTGTAAATTTGTCTCGCATTTCTGCCATAAACTCAGGTAATGCGTCTCGCTGGTGCGATCTGAAAGCCAAGTGGAGCAACCCTGACTTGTCACAGTGTGTCAGTCCAGCCTTTGCGGAGGTCAGCGGGAAGGTACGTCAAAATTGTGTCTACAGAGTAAAGTCCTAGCAATTATCCTGCAAACTTTGTCAGCAGAACATTTTGCTTTTATATATTTTTTTGATCTGGATTTCAAAGAGTGCACTCAAATTTTCACGCTGATCGATGGTACAGTTTGACAATGATATGTACATCCAGCTTATGAGAATAAAATCTTGAGAGTTATTTTTTGACTATTCCAGCAACAAGGGTTACAAGTTGTAGTACTACATTGGTACCATGTTTATAATCTGGTCATGCAAGTGCACAAGTGCCCCTTGGACCATGGGCTTTTGACAGCTCATCAACATATGCATATGCAACATACATGCAACATGCATTAGAGCATGGTGACGCTCACCTCAGCATTGATGCCCCCTGAGATTTCAATTGTGTAAGAGTTCTTTAAAGCTACGTTGTGCGTGCTTTTTCAGAACATTTATTTCTTTGCAGAGCAAATTTGGAAGGAATACGCTTATCCTTAAAAGTTGCTCGTTCATAAAGTGCCCTTTATTATTGTGCTGAAGTGTACAACAGCTCAAAATATTTGAAGCAAAATCTCTCGAGATATTCTTGTCTCGTGACGTGGCCAGCTTGTATGTGTATTATGCAACGCGCATTTTTCGACTTGTCCAATCCTAGCTGTACAATGTGCATATGAGTGGTGTTCAGTCTCAACACTGTATACATCATGATTGCGTACCATGACACACTCATGATGTGTTGTTTTGAGATTATTAATAAACTGCAGTTTCAACGCATGCGCACACTAGCTCCCACCTTGAACTATGAGCTAGCAGGGCTTGCCTTTTTGGTGTTACTGAATAGTGGAATTTTTTTTTTAGTACTGAACAACACTGACTTGGGATCTATAAATACCATTATGGAATTTCAATACCATTGTATTCTTGCTAATATTCTTGGAATGTTTGTAAGAGCCTTTGAAAATATGGGAAACCACATGTCTGTACGGTCACTTTAAGCAGAAATATGTGACGTATTTGTCCAGCTGACTTGCTGTTTGAAAAATAACTGGATACTTCTTAAGTTCATGGGTTTTACTACATTGACAACAATATCATCATGCTGGTTTGTAGTTGAAAGCGTTCTCATTGAATGTCTCCGGTTATCACCACTCTTTTTTGATAACATACACTAGACCACAAATCAAAGAATCTTTTTATCACGGAAATCACATTATTAAATGCAATACTGTCCAAGCCTAAGCAGGATGCTCTGAGAGCACAGGCAGTAGATCTGTAAGGCCTCTATTAAATTTAAAGGTAGTTTTGGAGACTTTAAACTCATCTTATAGAATGAGTAACCCATATTGTCAGAATAACACCATAAATAATTTGAGCCTGAAAAAACAACTGGTTTCTGTCAGGCTGAGCTTCTGAAATCTGGTAATGCAAGCGCCACAGATGTCCTGGACCTGGCCAACACCTTGCAGAACCTCACCCAGATCCCCAGGCTTGAGGAAGGGACAGGGGATGGCAAGCAGATCATCTACCCGGGGGACATGGAGGTAGCTACCAAGAGCCTGGGCCTCATTTCTGAGGTGGCCATGGGATCGGTAAAGGGGCTGGATGTCAGCACTGCCAAAGATCTCACCAAGGTATGATGAAGCTGCGTCGGGATTGCACGGCTGTGGCTAGGTGTAACATGTGAACCTATGGAAGCCTCTGGCTAGTGGCTATGACCAATTGCCATAAACAAGTTTTAGTAATAGCCATTTGTTAATACCGCTGGTCAATTTTGCCTGGTACCCAGAATGTATTTAATGCATGGTTTACCAGGGAAAATTGACAACCGGTTGACCAGCAGTTGTCGCTTGAAGTTAATTATCAATATGTGTTCTTTTTTGCTGAGCTGAGTATTTCAGATGGGCCCAAGAGATGTATGACTTTGGTGTACAATTAACCTTTCAGTGGTAAAGAGGAAAACTTGTGAGCACCATCAGCTGTTCTTAAAATACTGCATTCTTTTCATCAAATATATTGCTGGTTTGTGCTCATTTGGATGAAAACTAGTTTGTGTATGAACAGAGTTGTGCACACTACATTGTGCAGTAGCAGTCCAGGGGAGTTCTTCCATAAGATTTGGTTCTAAGCTGCTATGTTTTCAGCTAAATTGACACTGAGAAATACTAACACAACATGAAAAGCAGAAGATATGACATACCAAGGGATGGCAGAAGAAATAAAATGACTTATTTATCACAAAAACAAACTTACAGTGCCAGTGAAATAATTGCAGAAAAATGCTGTATAAAAGACAAAAGCATTTACATTATGCTGTCAGATTTAAGATCACAAAGCCCACCATTTTTGTTCAGATATTTGCTTTAAGCCATGAAAGATTTTGTAGGATTCGGGAGGAAGCATCATAACTTTTCACAAGAAACTTGGGCAGGCTCAAAGAAGACATTGTGTGAAGACGGATTTGCGATAATTTATATCTGCTTTTTCCAATCTTCTTTCCCCTCCCAAAATCCAAGCTACCGTCATAGCATCATGGGAAATTTGGATTGCATCATCTTTATAATCTTACTGCCGATGTCTTGTTGCAGGCATGTGCAGGGACTATCAACAACGTGGTCGATGAGTCTCAGATTTATGCCTGGAAGAACACTAACAACCCTGTGAGTGAAATCCAAACAACAGCAAAACAAAAAACAAAAAAAGACAAAAGGGAACAAAACATACTTTTGCATCCTGTAAGATTATGCCAACCACCGGCAGTAAAAGTCACTTGTGGTGACTTGTAAAGTTTCTGATGATGATTAGCATTTGCTTAAATAAGATCTTAAGGTTTACGTGATGGTTATAGCTTTCTTCCTCTTGGCTCAAGCAGTAATCTCAAGCCCAGAATCATTAATGTTCAAATCATATTGCATTTTCTACGGGTCATTTACATAATGTGTATCAAGACATAACACAACCTCTTGTGTGAATAGTAAATCTACTGTGTGAACGTAATTGAAAATGCATAAGGATAACACCACAGTGCATTGGACAGAAGTCTTCTCTGAATATTTAAATTTGCTCTGATAGAAGTCACTTTTCGTGTCCTCAAAATGAAATGTTCATAATGCCTGCAATGGATTAAAAGTGCAGTTGTAAAGCAATGAAGTTTATCTCTGTTGACAGGAAAAAGTAGCCTCTAGCGTGACCACCATGATCACTTCAGTAGAAAACATGGCCAGTGTCGTAAGACAAAAGGCTGAGCATCTGGACTCAGAATCAGATGACTCTGCCTTGATGATCAAGGACAAGAACTTAGGTAAGTTGGTTATCAGGTGAAGTCTTCATGGTTAAAGCTTCTGTTATGATCCCAAACTTCTCCAAACAGTTATCAATTTTAAATCACCAGAAAGCTGAGATATTCTCAGACATAGAGGAGCAAAGACCTCGAAGGAGATTTAAATAAACAAAACTAAAGAAATAGGATGATTTAATTCTGAAACTTAAAAACTAATTTAAATTAAATTGCAGTATTTGTTTCACAGCTTGCAAAATTTAAGGAATTTCACACTCGTGAGTGGTTAAGATAATAGTTCCAAAAAGGTCACTTGGGAGACCTTATAAGTATTTGAAGCAGGCATGCACTGAGTACTCACAGGATAAGTGAGGCTTCGGCTGTGTTCCCGAATGACCTAGGAATTTCTAGTTTGAGCACGCACTGTTGGAATGCCCTATTGGCTCACAGACATAGCCATTGGAAGACAAAGCTCAAAATGGCTAGCTAACAAGCTATCACAGGCAAAGATCTGAAGGAAATCCATGAACAGTGTGATGGCTGTCTTCACTGAACACAGGAACACTTCCCGTTACAACATCAGGCGCAGCACTGCACTAAAAAGCTTGTCAGTAATTTCTGAATCTGCGGCAAGTCACGTGAGTCAGTTCTTCAGAGTCAAGTCATATTATTAAAGTTGTCACCATGCATGGTCTAAAGTCTTAAGTACGGTCTTTCAAGTTGCACAAGCCACAGTAAATGGGACTCACAGTAACGTAACATAACGTAACATGTCGATTCCCTTTTTTCTTGCCAGAGCTCGAGATCTCTGTGTTCCAAAGCAACGATACCGACCTGCAGGAGGATTTCTTGGATGGAGCTGAAGATCAACAGGGGGAGGACGGCCTCCCACTCAGTCATATCAACTTGCCTGAAGACTTGCTAGATGCTGTCAACAATCAAAGCATCGGTATAAATCCGATTACCTGCGTGTACTGTTTGCTTTTAGTGAACTGAATTGATATAGATTTCTTGAAATCATTAAGGTTGGCAAGTACCAAATATATGTCATGGTCCAGGTGCATAAACACTGACAGATAGAGGAAGATGACCTTTTATCATTTATGATGACCTCTAACAACATTTTCTTGTTGAATTTCTTACTCACTCTCATGTTTATGTAAACTTTGGACTGTTTTGCATATTGAATTAACTTGGCATATGTTTGCCATTTTTTCCCTGAAGGCTATATTGGTGTCATGAAAGCCAAGTTTTCATCTGTGGGAGAACTGTATAGTCTGGGAAGTGACCGTAGTGAAGACCAAGACATCAGGTAGGACGTGTAAATGTTCCCAAGAGATATTGACATTGTAGTGGTTCACTGTGGTTTGATGGGACCATAGAGCAAGGAACAGACTAAACCCCTTACCTCTTATTAGTGCAGGTATCTTACACTCATTCCAAGGGAAAAATTTGCTTAGTATTGTTTATTAATGAAAATCAAAGTTTAACTTATTTCTACTTTCTTTATTTTTGTCCCCCGCAGGAAGGGCTATGTCAACACCGACGTTCTTTCTCTTAAAGTCTTGGGAGTAGGGGAGAGCCATTTCCAGAATCTGGAGACTCCCATCAGGCTTGTCTTCAAACATACAAATGAGGTCATTCATGTAAATGATTTCTCGCATAGTAAATCAGCAACTTCAATCTGTGACAGTGAGCGTGGATTTTGTCTTGCGATCTCTTGTTTTCAAAATGAATCCACCCTTCCCCATGAAAGTAAAACACGTAGCATTACATAATACACCTTTGCGAAAGAAGAGGTACCCAGGAAGAGAAAGCACTGGACATAGCATGTAATACATATTCACAGAAAACAGGAAAATGTCTAAACATTTCTAAAGAAAAGTCCAGATGCATTCACTTTGGGGGATTATGTTTTCGCTTTTGGGTTGTTTAACACGTTCTCTCTTTGTCTTTGATAAAATAGGTTTTGTCTCATCAAAATACATGATTTAAATTAAATTTTGTAAGAGTTCGACAGTATGGTGTGTAAGATCATGCCCACTTGCCAGGTGTAAATTCTTTTTTGAACTGTTTAGCTCTACTTTTTGGTGTTCCAGGGTGTTGATGCAGTCCAAACGAGTTGTGTCTTTCTCAAGACAACCAAATCAGCTGAGTAAGACCATTTGTCCAAATCCTGCCTTTGTCGCTAACCATGGAAACTGTTTTGGTCATTGAGTGTTTAAATCGAATGGGCAAATCCATACTGTGACTTTGTATTATAAATGGTAATGTCTCCCCAAAGGGGCACATGGCAAGCCATCTGAGTTTCCGAAATCAAGTGTGTTCACAAGGAAATTACGAAAACCTTGTGGTAAGATCCCTGCAAAATTAGATATATTCTGTTGCTTTTTTACCCAGTAAATTTTCAGGAGAAGAAACAAGATTTCTAACTGTTAAGGGGGAGCACATTCAAAAGCCCCACAAGGACAACATTTACATTTCAAAATGGTGGTAAATGATCAATCTAGACCTATACCATTGAGAGTTGGCTTAATTGTATTATTACTGAGTAAGTAGAACCAGAAAATTCTGGCCATTTGTGAACTTGTGTTCATGAAGATTTTTCTGTGCATACATGTATGTGCCAATATCATTTATGGGGAGAATACACCAAAGTTAGAAAGTATCCGAATTCTTCAAATGGAGCAAATATTTCACTATGACTTGGCTAATTTGCACTTGCCTAGATATGGTTTCATTCCAAGTATACGTATGAACCCTTCTTTTTGTCCAACTTTGAACAGCCATGGATTTTGATCCAAGTTGTTCCCCCTGGCACTGTTCCTCCATGTCCAGGAACCTTGACGGGCACGACACATGGGATGTTGAAGGATGTAAAGTAGAGTCCACCAACAAGACGCACACTGTTTGCCTGTGTTGGCATCTGACCAACTTTGCCATTCTCATGGACATTCATGGCAGTCAGGTAAATAATGTTGACCAGTAAGATGTGAACATAATGCAAAAAAAGTAGGATCGCATAACCGTTCCATGTTGAGTGCAAACCACAGGTTGAGCTTGGATCAGTTGCTTCTTACAAATGTGACTGCGTAATACAATTCTCTCTGAATTCCCGGTCAGTATGCAATATTCATCACTATCCCATTTTGCTCTTGCTTGCATCTCTCTCTGCATTCCTGGTCTCCGTATTTTTGCATCTATTTTCATGTTAATGGGTTGCTCTATACTTAATTACAAGACAAACTATCGATGACGTCCCTAGGCCTTGTTCCAAACTACATAATATTCCAACCATCCATTGCTGGGGAAGCTAGTCAAACTAGATGTTGCTCAGAATTCAATCCATCATCAGCTTTCATTTCTGTTTCAGGCCAATTTGCCCGAAGGTCACAACACTGCCCTATCTGTCCTGTCCTACATTGGTGGCACCCTTTCCATCTTGGGCTGCTTTTTCTCCATCGCCATCTACCAGTTCTTCAGGTTAGTCCATTTCGCCTCCTCCCAAAATCTAGGTCACATCAGAAACACATGCACCTATAGAGGCCACAGGAAAGGACAGCATTCGGTCCTCGGATACCACCTCCTTGTCTTGTTTGCCACTGATTGGAAGTTCAATGGAAATCAGTAAAAAAGAAAGTAAAGCTGGACAGTAGTATAAATCCTTGGATAGAAGCCAGTTTAGGTTTCGGTGAATTCAGAATATTTTAGAAGCAACAGGGTAATCAGTTTACTAGGTCTGTCAGGTAGAACAACATCTATCTTGTTTATCAGATGACATTATCTTTTCAGCTATGAAGGGAATCACATGGATATATGTAGGTTACATGGTGATGACGAGTGATGTATTTCTTGACTTCAGTCTAAGTATCTGCAACAGTGTTTTACTTTTCATTTCTGTGGAGCACAGACTGAAATCTGACCGGATCCGAGTCCACATGCATCTTGCTGCTGCCATCGCCATTTCACAGCTGATCTTTCTAGTCGGCATTGAGAGGAATGAAATTGCTGTAAGTTGGAATATAAGCAAGCACAAAAAAGAGAGATAGAGAGAGGGTGCAAGTGAAATTGTCTCAGCTTATCCAAATCGTCAAACTGTTTTTCATCAACTTGTAAACCAGGACCACAGCTGAATTAGTCGGTAACCCAAGTTTCTTTGCTGCTGTCTGTTCCACCAGTGGGTGTGTAAAGTGATCGCTGTAGTGCTACACTACTGCCTGACGGCCATGTTCTGTTGGATGCTGGTGGAAGGTATTCAGCTGTATCTTGCCCTAGTTCACGTCTTTGGCTCCTCCAGTCACATCAAGAAGTACTTGTTGCTTGGCTGGGGTAAGTGTCAGAGTGACTGCCGCTGAACTGTTGGCTCTCTGGGCATAGTAGTGAAGAAAACGTCTTATTAGCCAGTGAAGACATTTTCGTTATGTGTCTTCACAACATGCAGTGTAGATGTTAGTGCATACGTTATGCAACAGTATCTGTCTTGAAGCTAGTTCAGTTTTGGCCAAAGAGCAAACACAAGAGTAAAATTATGATGTCAGATCAAATATTCATGTTGCGAGGGATTGGTAATAGTCAAACACATTTCAACTGGAGAAATATGGAAGGGCTGCGTAGCACCGTGATCAGAATATTGACAAGAATATATGTGATTGCTGAGCTTTCGGTAATTGAGTACCTTCTTCAGGGCAAGCAGATTCAGTTCAGTTTGAATCTGCTTGCCCTGAAGAAGGTATTCAGTTACCGAAAGCTCGGCAATCACATATTTCAGAGCACTAATTTGATATTATATTCTTGTTTACATTTCAACTGGATCAAGTTTTGCTGCAAGTATTCCATGATGTCAAAGTCACTTTGCTTTCTTGTCAAGCCCGTGGGAACGGGGGATGCTGAAGCACCCCTAACTTTTTGGGACCAGGATGCTGGTGTACAAAATAGCACCCCCAACGTTGACCATGTTAAGCCACAAACATAATCAAACTCACAAATGTCTGGGATCCACCGAAAAACCCTAGATATTTAGAATTTTACAATCTCAGCCCCTCCCTATGAAAAATGTGCTCTTGCAGGCATGTTTCGTGTTTGCCCGAAGTATGATCCAGCCATCGTCTTCAATAGTATTAATTGGATGACGTGTTTGTACCTGTTTATAGGAAATGAAAAGTGACAACCATTTACAGCTGTTTCTAGCTCCTTATACCTCTTGACAATATTTGATTGCCACAACACCGTTTGCAAAACTTTTCGTCAGTTTTCCAGTTATCTCTCTCCAACATTTCTGAGTTTCAAACAAGGAATGTAGGCAAAGGAATTTCAGTCATTTAATTGGCAAATAATGGGATTTCGAATTGCGTGCAGTCTTTGTCGGTAAATGTATGTATTTAAAATCGGCCTTAAATAGCCGTTGTGAAGCCATAAAAAGATACTTGGTGTCTTAAGAAAGTTTGATGCTGTCATTTCAGTAATTCTGTTTTTTAATAGTTTACATTAGGACAGGGCAAACTGAGTTAGTTTGTTGTAATTGATTTATTTTCCAATTTGGCCTCCTGACAGAGATCATATCATATGAAGATGGTAACATTTGTAAGGCGTTCCTATTCATTCATACTGTGTAGGATTTTTCAAAACTCATTTAACTTGTCTTGACTTGCTCTAGTGACATGTGAAACTCATTTAGTTCAGTTGGATCGCCTGTACGTCAGGTTCATATTTACTTGTCTGAATTACCATTTGTCTTCATTTCAGGTGCTCCACTGGTCATTGTCGGCATCTCGTTTGGAGTTTTCTTCAAGGACTACGGTTCTGGAAATACGTAAGGAATGATTCACCATCAAACTGGAATAGGTTACTAGCTCTCATTGAATGAGCAAGCTGGGCTCTGGTTATTATTTATCGTGCCTTGTGCGAGCGAACAAGTATCAATTGAAATTCTCTTGAATATTTTTGCCTTACGAACAGTTTTACAATTTTGTAACACTTGCATAACGCACACAAACTCGTGTTTTGTGAAACCACCATACGACTGAGCTGAGAATTGGCATATGTGTCATTAACCTGCATGATATAACATGAACTGGTCAGCAGATGACATGTTCTTTGTCTTTGCAGGTGTTGGCTCACCCAGCAGATGCTCCTTATTGTCTTTGTGCCGACTGTGGGCATCCTGATTATCGTAAGTGTCGTTAGTCATCTCCCGGAGGGGTAGAAGAAAGAAAACAGCGATATTACCATGGGGAAAAAGACTGAAAGAATCCAATTTGAATCAATGGCTCAATTTACAACAGAACATTGGAACAAAAGGGTTCATGAACTGTCTTTAGGATGTCTGAGGTGGGATTTGAACCTGGGGCCTTTCTTTCTGGTGAAGTAAAGCTCACCAAATTAAGGCTTGCACCTCCTAAACTTCAGTCTATGTCATAAATGCTGAATAGAATTACATGAATGTCTGTTATTGTCTGTAGCCATTTTTCAACTATTTGATGGGTGTTGTCTTTCCCGGTAGCTGAACACTGTGGTTCTGATCATTGTGCTGAAAGTGATGATGACATCACTCACTGCCAAGGAGAAGAGCAAGGAAAATGATACTTCACAAATCAAGTAAGGACACCTCCCTTCATAGCCTGTGTTCGTATGCCAGGCCAGACGATAAATGTTCAGGAGCGCTCACGATCAACTTTTCAATTGAGTGCACACAATTCTGGATGAAGTCACTTGAGAAAAAAGCCCCCAAACTGGCATTGAGTAATTCCTTTGCACTGGTCCATACCTTTCACAGTCTGACAGGGATGGTGAACTCGGCTGAGTTTATCCCAAAATGCGACAAATACCGCATTTGACATTCTTGAACAACAGGGTGGGACATCCATAAATCAACCTGCTGGAACCTCTTCTAAGATTTCCGTTATTGTTCAGTGGCTTTTGTGTAAAAACTCCTCAACTGTAGACGCCCCCTTGTGATTCTCATTTGCTGTTCATTTCTTGCCGTCCTCTTTTTGTGATCAGGACCGGTCTGAAGGCTGCCCTGGTCTTGCTTCCTCTGCTGGGACTGACCTGGGTCTTTGGGTTCATGTCCGTCAACGAACACACCTTGGTCTTCACCTATCTGTTTGCCATCTGCAATTCCCTGCAGGTACATGCACATCATGCTCAACATCACTGTGCAATACGCTGCCACACTCTTAAGCTCAATATTGTAGAATCCCATGGTTTGATGAGGTCTAATATTGGATTGGTCCTAGGTAAATGAAATGGCTTACCAGAATCAGAATACGTTAATTGGAAAGCTCAGTTCTAAATGATGACCCCAGTTTCTTATACTTGGTAACATTTTGTGCAGAGCTGCCTCAGCCATTCACACTTAAGTGTTGCTCAGAGCTGTAAGCCAGATTGATTGCCAAGACTGAAACTAAAGTGTGTATTCTATGGACTGCAAGAATGATTGCACCTCTTTGGTGTGTCAAATTGATTTTACCCAGTTAGTTTACTAAATCATATTCAGAAATGTATAGCTTAAGCTGACACAGGGCACACTATGGTGCCAAATAATAATTCTTTGACATTAAATTTGTTTTTTTTTTCACTTTTCCCTTTATTGCAGGGCCTGTTTTTCTTCATCGCTCACTGTGTGATGAATATTGAGGTATTCATTTTGGTTCAAAGATTTTTGTTTACGTGATCATTTTCAGGATGATTTTTTTTAATCTTGTGACCGTATATCTTGAATTCATATCCCTTTGTGAGTCCCTTTTCTTTCACAGGTATCACTCAAATGAATGTTCTCGTAATCCTCTTAGTATTAGGCACAGGAATACTTGTGATCTGTCTTAGTTTTTCTGTTTATACAAACTTGAGCCAAGGTTGTGGTATTTAAGTTTTGATGACATTGTTGACTAATGCAGGGTACATTACAGAATGGCCATTGTAGTGAAAGTGGCTAGTGTATGTTTCTGTCAGAAGGCAAGAGAATACTAGTGGAGTTATGACCACTTTTAGCTGATCACTCCAACTGTTCCATCATTTGCTTACAGACCACTGACCACTCTGGGAATTTGACCATTTTGTCACATTTTGGAAATGTACAATGACCTTGTTTCAGGTAAAGAAAGCCTATGAGCGTCGCTATGGTCGCAAGAAGGGATTACACTCTCTGACAACCAGCTCCACGGCCCCTGTATCCAGTCGTAGCCAAGCATCCTCCCGCAAGCACAGTGATGTCTCCACCACTGAGCTGATCAAACGCAACCCGGCAGTCAGTACGGTCTCAGTAAGTCCTTTAACCTGGTGTCTGGTACCTGCTCCTGCAAAATGAGTATCAAGTCCCAAGGGCCCCTGTCCACACCCTGGAGGAAATGCATGGGATTTTCAATATCACTGCAGAGAAATACCTTCTTAACAATGCATTAAGCTTCAAATGAAAGACTTAAGCTTCTTCAGAATCAAGATCTGAAAGGTTGAGAACTGGATTTAACATCAGCAAAAATCCCATTTTGTTTTAGCCATGCTATCAAGTAGAACATTTCGTGGTATTGCATGTGAGATTTCCAATGACGTTTTGGGCATGCTTATCAGAACAATTATCAATAACGTCACAGTGTTTCTGACTGAGAAACATGTACGGTATCTTCGTTTGTGTGCATTTACCCAAGTGCCACTTTCTTTCATCGGAATTGCGTCTTTGCAAGTTTCAAAAGTTTGCACCACTCGGAACTAGCATGGTGATATTTGCAGGCATTTATATTCCATCTGAAGTATTTGTTCCCCCCACTCCCCTAGGGAGGAGGTTTTGACAACCCTGTCATGAAGGACACAAGCCTGACCAAAGACCCTGCTAAATCCAAGGACAACTCCATGAACAACACAAGTGACACCAAGAAAACGGTAAGAGTTTGAACCAAACTGGCCTCCGAGTCATTAGTCAGCAGCGGCCTGCCCCTATAAACTCACGATCCTCTTGGGAATTCAGAAAAATTCAAGGACGGAAAGCCCGACTTGTTTACTTCTGATACTTGTGGCAGAACAGTCAGCAAGTCATGAATTTAATCAGCCACTAACAGTCAATTAAAAGCAGATTTTGCAGGCACTGTTATTCAAACTGAGGTGAGATGTCATCACAAAATGTCACAAACCTGTCTCAATTTATGTACACTGTAAAACAACATGCTTTTTATTTGACAAGCAGTGGTTGATGGACTGGTCTAAGTTCTCCAAACAAGCCTATCCCACCATTTATTTGTTAGTGTGCTTTTTGGGTAAAGGTTAGCCGCACTTCATACTGCAGTTATCATAGTTTTTAATTGAACTCAAGTTTTGTGCCTTATAGCCCATCCCAATCAGCAAGCCAGTGACAAGCACCAATTACAGTGCTTTGCAGATTATATGTGTAATTTTTACTCAGATAATTAGTAGATAAATACCTTGCTTGTTATTTTCTAGACCTTGGATTCTGTGAAAGTGAATGACATACAGTGTCTCGTCAAGAACAAGTAAGTACCAGCAGAACAAAAAGTAGAGTTCATTTGTTGAAATTCTTTGACCTGATCCGAAATGTTTCAAATGTTGATATTTTCAGTCTTGTTTAGATTATGGGAAAAGGTATTTATCCATTGATTTCCTGATGTGTGTTTCTTATTCAGCTGCTCATCCTTTTAAGAGAGCAACTGCGAAACAATGACAAAATGTCCTTTTTCTTTCTTTTTTTTGCAGTGACAAGGTGAACGATGAGGAGAAAGGCCTGGTGGAGGGAGCCAAGGTTGCCATGGAGACCATCGTGTCAAAGGATACTAATTTGAAGATGGATGGCAGCAACATAGCTTAATTTAAGGGTGGTTGGAGTCTCAAGAATTCACCCGGTTTGACATCCTATCAACCAAATCAAAACACCATAACCAAAGTAACAAATATCAATTGATAAAACATACTCTTTATAGTGGGTTTGCGCAGAACTCAAAATTGTGGTTTTTCTACAAGCCTTTAACAGGACACAGAATTTGGATGTGTGGTCCTAAGTTAAAGTGACCAAAATAGAGAGCCCTATTTTTGAAATCGAATCAATAAAGTGCCAAGTCAGTGGTAATTACCTTGTTGACCATAGTGAATCTTTGCAAAAAGTTTAAATTGCTGATTTTCATGAATTGCTAGGGAGCTGCAAGTTTGCTGAAACGATTTGAAATCATTGATTTGGATCACTGTGCAGATAACAATAATCCGTACATCACTTGGCTCTTATCTGCACTAAAACTATCCCCAAATACCGCTGACTGTTTTTGTTCAATGCAGTGGAGTTCCTCACCAGATATCATGACAATAACCTTTCATCAGCATTGTTAATCAAACAAGCAAAAGAACCACATTGGAAATATGACTTGAACTCCTTTTTATGAATTTTAGTTTGATCAAAGAAAAATTTCGTACTGAAAGGGCTCTCCAATTGGTGGAGGAAAATTCATTTTAATGGATTTTTTTCAATATCATAGAACGTATGGTCTGCTTTTTAAGCTGCGTCAGCTATATTTTTCCAGCTAATTAAATACTGAGCTGTCGGTGGAAATAACCTGATACTTGAAAATAGCTTGTAGAGAAGGGCTTATGGTGCATCATTCAAGGTTTCAATGACTTTGCTTCTGTTAGCCGGACATTGCTTCACTTTAATTTTGACCCAAAGCACAAAAACAGCAAAATTCTAATATTGGGGCTTAATATTAAATACGTTATTAGACTTTGTGAAGATACTCTGTCAAGCAGTGTTTAATCCGTCATAACTCAAACACACTGAAAATAAAAATGAAAATTGGACTTAGATATTGAAAACTGAATTGTGTATTTAGAATCTGCAAAGAAAAACATATAAATTAATATATGTATATTTGATTTAAATCAATTATTTATTGTGATTTTGTTACCACTCAAATAAGAAGAGGGGAAAATGTGTAATGTTAGCAATATGGATATCATAGAGTTCTAATATTCATGTATACTATGTATGATTCATTTAGAGGTATCATGAACATAAGCACAAAGAGTATAGATTAAGAATAACTCAAGTGTTGGAACTTTCTTCAAACTCAAAGTGCTTTGGCAGTTTACTGGAATGTGCCTTGAATTATCCTAGAGTACTGGTTTTTTGAACGTACCTAGTTCCCTTAGTTTCTATTAAGAAAGCGCACCTAGTTTGAATGTTCCTCGTCATACCCTGTGTATATTTTCCCGTTTTAGCCTTTACCCTTGTACCATTCATAAATCATCAAAATGGAAGTTTTTTTGCATTTGACCCTTATTCAATCCGTCCATCATATTGTTTAACTCTGTAAGACTCACTTTTGAAATCAAATGTTAGGTCTCCTGCACAGACGGTTGCATATTCCACCTCTGAAAATACAATTTATTTGTCAACTTGTTAATTAAAAAAATTTTGGATTTGCACACTTTTCAGGTAGCAGAGTTGGATTATTGAAAAGAACAGCAGTGTGAATAGACCGTTAAATAATAATTCTGAGTTAAGTTGTAATTAATTATTCTAATTAACAGCTACATATACTTAAAAGGCATCAGATGCACTCGAGGAAATACACACAAAAAAAGTAACTACCAATACGACTGTTCATCATATTACAATTTCCAATTGTGCCCAGTTTAAGCTATTTAGTGCTTTTATCAATTTGTCTGAAGTAAAGTTAGTATGAAATGTGCATCATTTAGCAATAATTCGTTCTTTATTTCCTAGGTATTTTGTTGATATCTGACTGACTGTTGGCCTATAACGTCATTCCAAATATCATATGTTTATTTCGAGAAGTCTACTTGAAATTCGTGCAGTTTAGGGTGAGCAAAGACGATATCTCTATTCACACTTCATGTTGAATAAGAAAGGAAGGAATTTTCCTTCAAAATTAAGTTCTGTAAGCATTTCATCATAGATGCAATTAGAAGAGAATCAGTTCTTCTGTAGGCTAGGCCCTGTAGGTTGCGTGAAAGCAAGCATGACTTATATGGGCTTAGGCATAATAGGTAGGCCCCCTTTGTCTCATCTGTGGAGAGCACCATATGAAAAAATAAAAATTAATGTCAAATCATCCCGTAACAAATGCTGTACACCGTACCGTCTCTCGTTGACCAGTGTATAAAAATGTCTCATATTGGGACTGTGCTTCGATGTATGTGGGTCTACCTCTTCCCAACAAAATTCCCCATCCTAGAAAGTAGGTTTGTGGTAGCACCATGGACGTGTCTCTTTTGTGAGGAGATGACGAGCAGAGCATAGGCCTACTGCTCGAAACGTCGAGTACCACTGGTTCTTTTCAGAACCGCAAATACTCATAAGAGATACGTCCATGGTGCTACCGCAAACCTACTTTCTATTATACCTCTTCACCATGCAAACCTTCAAGACTTATCTAAAATACCCCATCCTTTAATATTTGCCTTGAGAGCAGTAGAGCTATTTTAAGGTAATGCCAGACGCACTTGGTAGAAAGAAAATGGGCCAGAAAAGCGGATTGAAAAAGAAATACCCATTCAGGAATTTAGGTGCATTGCAAAAATGGGGGAATTTCAGGGTTATCCTAATCATTCCCTTTAGCTTTCCAAGCTGCTTTGCTTCTTTCCCTGCTAATTTAAACAAGAGAGCCAGGGTAATTTTACCACTCTTTCTGTTTGTTTGAATTAGTGCACTGAACTTGAAAACAAGTTAACTTGACACAGAAAGGCGATTCAAGCTACAAATTTAAGTTTTCCAGCAGTCATTATCAGGAAGTTTATGGTAAAGGTTCCCTCATTGAAATAAATCATCTTCGCAAAAGTTAATTATCGACAAGTTAACAATAAAATAACGATCACATTAATCTTAGTTGAAGCAAGATCAAACGGCAACTCTTTTCATGACCGCGGAACACCAAAGAAAAGCTACGGACACGTGGCGGGCATGGGTAGGCTATAGGGAGGCGGGAGGCGAGGCGGCTAGCGGTTTCCATAAAGAGCGCCCTCGTGCAACAACCAATCGCACGAGGCCACATTCTCTTCTGCAAAAGCTAGGTTCCCTGATTAATTCGTAGTGAGTGGAAGTGTAGCGCGCTCAGGGAGTAAGTCCGTATTTTTGTGCCGACGGAAGAGAGCACCAAATTTTGGCAAAATGAACACCGTTTTATCCCGAGCGAACACAATATTTGCCTTTACGCTCAGCGTCCTGGCAGCTCTCACGTTTTGTTGTTTTCTGACGACGGCTTTCGACGGCAGTGTTGCCCCATTTTACGTGGAGACATCGAAACATCTGGTGTGAGTACGTTTGTGCATATTGTTGACATGGTTGATGACCTGGCTTGCCGGGGGGGGGTATTGTAATACTTGGGGACCCCAGTTTTTGTAATTTTAATCTTGCAAAACTGGTGAGACCCCAAAAAACAAATGCAACACTCTCTTTTTGCGTTGATCCTATTTTTTTGAAATTCCAAATACATGTAGTAAATTGTGAGAAAATGTGACTTTCTTTCTGATGAGGCCACATTCCGGATTTCCGTCCGGACAATTTTGAAAACCCATGTCATGAGGCTGTTTTTCATTATTCATTAGTTGGTGTACATACTGTAATGCAAATTGGAATGTTCTGTGTGCCATGTGTCAACAGGTTAGAATGCTCACAGACTTCCCTCATAATTTCCCTCAAAACTCAAAACCCTGCCCGTTTTTTACAACATCAACCTTACAGTTATTGAGCATGATGTCACAGTCTTCTACCAAAGTGAATTCAAAAGCTAAAATGTAGCTTGCCCTTCTAGCATAGGAACAGGGTCTCCATATTTACAGTTCCCATGAACCGGGGGAGGGATAGGCCTAAAGCTTGGACACAAATTTATCAAATTGTGTATGATTCATAGTAGCAGTAGGCTACTCCCAGAACTGTGTTATCCGACGTCTGCCTGCTCCTGTGAACCTCCCAGAAAACGAACCTTTTCTGCCATAGCATCTCATTGCCACCCAATGACGATTTGACAATTGCACCATTGCCGTTGCCGTCACTTCAGCATGCCGTTGTGTTCATCACATTGTGCATGTGTCAGGCCAGCTAATGGCCGAGCTTGCTTCGCATTTTCAGTTTGACATTGTCGGAGGTGGGGAATGGCATCTTGTGTCCATTGTGATCTTTTCACTGCCGTTGGATGTGAGTGCACGTGAGCGCGCTGTCATACATTGAGCAATTTCTGTGGAGCTTGCATGTGGCTGCAGGCAGCAATCTTCTTGCACTCAGGACACGTGAGCACTTGGCTATTGCTTGTCATTCTTGCCATTCGGGTATTAATAATGAGGAGCCCTGTGATTGGTCAGTGTGACCCTTACATGTAGCACACCGCAGCCAACTGCCATTTCAACCAGTCAAGCCAGTCGTGGCTAAGAATTACACACACATATACGGAAAGTGGCTGCAGCCAAGTTCCATATCTTGTGTATCAGTTGCAGCCATAGTCAACTATTTGGTTGCGGCTTGTCTTCATAAGTACACACGTGAACCACATGATTCTTGGACTCTGATTGGGAAATATTTGCACCTTTTTTTGAAAATATACTTCACTTTTTCAAAAAATATACTTCATGGCATTTGTAAAAATCAGCACCGTTTTGATCCGTTTTTTTGTGATACAAGTTATGAAGGTATATATGCTGCCTTACATAGAACTCTTGGGGGGAATGGAGAGGCATTTCTGTGGGTATATGATGGTCACAAATCCCTGTGCATGCCCTCATGTAGTGCCTATGGCAAAAAAGGCTCATTTTCTGTGGAGTTTGTGGGAGCGGGACGAATGTCGGACCCAACAGTTCTGCGGTAACGGTCAACGGGTATCAACACTACAATTAGACCTATTGTTAGTGGCTGGTATAGATGGCTTATTACGGGAACCACAACATGATAGTTGGCACGATCGGACAATAAGTATTGCCAATCTAGCCTGTATTTGTGACCCGTTTTGTAAAAATGAGTAACGTCTCCAGAGCCACTTTTGAGTGAAAGGCCTTTGAAAGAATCTTGCACAGTGTTAAGCAACAGGAATCCTCAACGTTTTAATATCTGCACAGTGTCTATTTCCAGAGCCACTTTTGAGTGAAAGGCCTTTGAAAGAATCTTGCACAGTGTTTAAGCAACAGGAATCCTCAACGTTTTAATATCTGCACAGTGTCTATTTCCATTCTACTAAACTGAGTGACACATCAAAAGAAGAAGCTCAAATTCCTCAATCTAATACAAAGTAAAACTCACAAGTAGCTCCGGAGACTTGTGACTCATTTTTACAGGGCGGGTTATGTGTGTTTAAGCCCTCGTAACAGTTGTGAAATTATCTACAGAAGTAGACAGCAACCAGTTTAAAAGTGCCAAAATATAGCCATGGTATATGGACAAATGATGGCTTTTATAAAAGGAAGAGGCATTGGCGACAAATTTGTTGGGTGTAGTCAGTACATGTTTACGATTTATCAATCATGTCCATATTGTTGCATGGCTGCTCAATCTTGTGGAACAATGTGTCAGTCCTTTTGCCACGAGCCAGTCTCCTTGTCTTTTTAATTAACAGCTTTTGGGGAGCATTTTGTCAAAAGGGGAAATTTAAAGTCTGAAATATCAGACAGGATCGTCGGATAATGCAGCACTATTGATTGATTTGATCGACTGATCACAGCTAACAAATCCATTACAAGTCCATGATATTGCTACATAATCAAGTTGTGGGAAATCCCCTGAAAAATTTGGCAAAAAATCTATATAGATAGTCACATTTATTGAATGTCATAAATACCATCAAGAGTTTACTCTTCTGTTAAATCTGTTTTTCGTAAGTGATGAACACATTCCCTCTTCGAAAATAGCCGAAAGTTAACAGGAGCTCCCTTTATAAACCTTTTGGAGTCGTGTTAGTACCGGTACATGTAATATGACTTTTAAATGCTGGGTCTAAAACTTGATTTACATGTATACTGATAGACCATAGGATGACAAGGAAAAAGGCCTATTTTTGGAGATCCGTGGTCCCCATCGTCAGACCACATAAAACTTCATACGTGGGGGGGGTTCAAGTGTGCTGAATCCCACTTTTACTGTTGCCAAGCTGTAAACGTGCATATTGTCATGATATTTATGTAATATTTATCCGTTAATCATATTAAGAGCAACAACTGTGGTACACAACCTGTCAATAACAAAGTTTTAATTTCTCCCCAACAAGGCAAAGTTTTACCTATAAGTAGAGCACGCACTTGGTTTAAACTTCTAACAAGGGATCTCACCAGACAGTAATAAGGTGGGCGGAGTTTAACACCACCCCCAATTTTACCTTTGACAAATTTTACCATTATCAGCATCTTCTGTAGTTTTTCTGCCATGGGCCCGTTGTATTTTATTTACGTTGCAAAACCTCTGGTAGCAACAACGGTGATAACCGGCTTCATTTGGCCAGGGCCGGAGTGCCGAATCGTTTGCCACGTCGCTCTAATTCACATGGTGTACATGTATTTGGGCAAACTTTACAACAATTTTGGCCTCAACTGAGTCAAGAATCTGCATCTTCTGGTAACCGCAGCTGATAAACTTACTCCAACTTGAACTTTTAAAAGCTACAAGCTTTCCAAATTCATCTGTGTAAACATGCATACAACAAAAATTCGGCTGCGTTTCCGACGAAACCTCATCCTCTACGGTCGCCGCCATCTTGGTTAGCGTATTATAGTACGAAGACGTGAAAGAGGATGATCAGTGAGGAATTACATTGGTTGATACTGGATGATGTAATCCTTATTTGCTTGCTTTCTGGATCGTAAAACCATTGCTAAATTTAATATATTCTTGACTTGTGCAGGTTTTTTTGAAAGGCAATGTTCCAAATCAGATTTTTTGTAATATTTATCTGACAGATATTGTGTAACATTTTGAGCGATCATCCTACGGTCTATGAAGTTTGATGTTTAAATGAAAGATGACTAACTGTGTACTTTTCCATAATCCACAGAAAGAACGCATACAACCAAAATGGAGAAAAGGTGGACCGTGGCCACATCACCTTTGACCTGACCTCTGACCTGGACCCTCTGTTTAACTGGAACACCAAGCAGCTGTTTCTTTACCTCATGGTGGAGTATGAGACACTACAAAATGTAAGCACAGATAGAGGACATTCTAGAAACTTCACTTCTCACTGCAAAACTGCCGAATTAAAAAAAAGCCTTGAGCCATTTCCAAGGATGGATTGGCGCCGCGGAGATGTTAATTAATTTTGGATTTTTGCCCTGCCTGACATGTACTACAACACTGTATACCAGTGTTGTAGGTCTCGAGACCTGGTCTTGGTCTCGGATGTCGTGGTCTCGGTCTCGACCTGCAAAAGTCTCAGTCTCGAAGTCCTGGTCTTGGTCTTGAAGGAGTAGGTCTCGGTCCCGGTCTTGGTCTCGGACATCAAGGTCTCGGATACAACACTGCTGTATACTCAGTGTTTGCTCCCCGAAGGTTTGTGTCGTAATACGCGTCGGGCAGGGCAAAAATCCAAAATTAATGAAGCCTTGAACCAGTTTTACACAATACAGAGTTTTAGTGTCGTCACTACTTTTTTTGTAGGAGGGAATGGGATTTATCAAGCAACCCCATCATGAATGCACAGTTTTCTGGGATTTGGAATTCATAAAATTACCAACATTATTGTTTTCAAGTATTGCTTGCTCTACCATCCATTGTTATTGTTGTGGTAATAGTTTTTAGATTAAGTGATTGCCCAATCCTTAATAAAATTCCTTTGGTAAATGACACAGAAGACAACACAATGTATTTTAAAATTCGTTACAAAGATCTACCTCCCTTCCCTCCTCCTTTGAAAAATTCCCCTCGCTCTCCTGGATTGGACCTTCCCCCCAACATAAAATTTAAAGGAAGAAAAAGAAGAGCTAATTATAGAAATAGTCTTCCTCTCATTCACTTATAATGGCACCCCCCCCAAAAAAAACCCCATTTTGGATGGGCAAGTTTTTATAGTTTCTCTGATATGTTTTGCTCTTTTTCATCCCAGAAACTTAACCAGGTAGTGCTGTGGGATAAGATCATTGTCCGAGGAGGCAAAGCTAATCTGGACCTCAAGAATGTCAACCTGAAATATCCATTTTACGACGACGGTAGTGGTTTAAAGTGAGTGTAAGAAATTACATAAAGAGCCTGCTGGTGGCTTAGTGGCAAAGTTCTTGAAGTTACTTTTTTTCATTAGTTCAACCTTGGTAGGAAATTTAGGCTGCAGGAATAGACTAACATCCCCTGAACAAAGTAAGTAATGCGTTGGCAGGACAACATATGCCTAATAGCTCATTTTGTGTAGTGCTTGTCGAACAGCAGGCCTCAAGTTCAAAACTCTCTCCAGTCAATTGAAAAAATGCAGGGGTTAAACTTTCTGTCTCTGTAGTAGTTATCTCCTTCCGAGGCACTTCAGGAATCCCAGAAGTTGACGTTGACAATTTCAGAATGATTTGAATTTAACTTGAAAATTGGAAATACGAAGTCTAGAACTCGGAGTTCTCCTAATTTAAAAGCAAGTGAGGGCAATAGGTAATGAGGAACGCAGGGCGTTGTTGGAATGAGTGGATTCGGCTCAGACTTCGGTTTCCCTGGTGCCAGCCGTTTTGAAATAGCGCTGGAAACTACGTGTACGAGCTCAGACTGCAACCAGCAAAACTGCAGTCTAAGCCAAATCCACTCGTTTTGAAAACGCCCGTAGTCACATGATACTTAGGAAAACAAGGTCAAGTGAAAATGCATGTGCACTGCAATCTTTGCTGGAAGTTCAGCCCCTAGTTTTTGTAGCCAAATCACCTTTAGTAACAATAATAACGGGTATTTATAAAGCATACATGGAGCCAGTGATTTTCTGTTTCAAAAATGGGTATTTTCTGTTTTGCCAAATCTCGAATTCCACTTCAGAAATTCAAATTCCGTTCCATACTTTCGTAAGCATGAAATAGGAGAGCATGTTTTAACTATGCATGGAAACCATTTGCCCAACTACACCCCCTCCCAAAAAAAAGAAAGAAGAGAAACAAAAATAACAACAATATTGTTTGGAAATACCCTGCAAAGATTCCAACTTTGTTCTATAATTTCTGTAGTGAAAATTTAAAAAAAAATCCAGACAATAAATACTGCACACTCCACCCCGTGATTTCCCACCGGCGCGCAATCGCCAAATCTTGCTACGATTAATCAACGGACAATTGATGTGCCACTCCTCGTGTATGAAATCAGATTACATACATGTACATGTACAGCTTGATGCTGCCATTTCAAATGCAAACTGCTTCATCAAATACTTTAACCGTCTCTAACTTCACAGGCACCAATTTTTACCCCCCCCCGGTTGAGAGGGAGCGAAATAGGAGTGAAGTGACTTGCCTGAGGTCACAACACATAACCAAGTGCTGGATTTGAACCCCCAACTCTATTTTGGAGTTACAAACATAAACCTCTAGGCCACACACCTACCTCATATGGAACATTAGTTTACTGTGTAGTGCTGTTAGAGGATTTGTGAGGCTTTGACTATGTCCCATTTACTTGGCTATGGCTGAAAGTAAGACATGAGTCTATGAGAAAGGATGAAGTCACTAAGCTGGCAACTTCCATAGACTTATGTATTATCTTCAGCCCCAGACATGTACTTTGGATGTGACATTTTCTGCAGCAGTGCCTAAGGAGTTATATTGGTTTTGTTTAACTTCTTTACATTAAAAAAAAAATTTTCCCCCTTTTTTGATTTTATTTTTGGCAGAGGTCACGAAAACATCACAATGACGCTGAATTGGAATGTCATTCCAGGAGCCGGGTTGCTGCCAAGGATCACAGGCGATGGCAAACATGTGTTTGCGTTCCCCAATGAGTACAGTACCAAGAGAATATAAAGAAACCTCATGAATTTTCTTCACCGAATTTTACAACCTGTGCCAAGATTTCACGAGGTGCCTTGTTGGAGTGTTTATCTTTGATCCTGTGCAGTATTTACAAGTGTATGTTGGCGCACCTGTGGACAATTTTCTTGTATCATCCATTACTCTGCACTCCAACATGGATTCTCGGGAAACACCTCCATGGCCTTGTGTGAAGGACTTGGCTACAGTTACAGCCAGCTCTAACACTTGAATGTATGAAGGTAACTGGCTTGTGCCTGCCGCTTCTCTCCATGGACCTGTTTGCTGTTGCTGGTTTATGATTCAGACCTCAGCCTGTCACACACCGAATGCTTAAATTATGTTGGAAGCAATGTGTATTATTCAAAACGGTTTCTTTGTGAAAGCAAGGTGTAGGCCTACATGTTTTATTTTACCTCAGAGGACAGAACATAAAGGGAACAAAGTTGCTTCCCTGCCCTTCAGTAGTGGTCAGCAGTGTGGTAGTCGAGTCTTTCATAAGTCCCTGCAAGCCCATTACAAGTCATGCAGTCTTAAGCCAAGTCACAGTGTGCAAGCATTCCTTTGTCCATGTCCACCCTGTTACTTATGACTGGCCTCGTGAAAGGACTTGTGATGGACTCGACTAACGATAGTCAGTCTTTTTCACTGTCTGGGATCGTACAGTCCAGTCGGAGGGTTAGTGGGCAAAAATCCAGTGTAGTTGTCGAGTTCATTCCAAGTCCCCGCAAGGCCATCACAAGTCATCCAGTCTTAAAGTCATAGGCTATCTAAATGAACTGTAACAGAGGTATTCCTTTGTCATTCTTCACCCCGCTACTTGCGACTGGACTTGTGAAGGGACGAACAGGGTGTGTGGCAGACTACAGCACCCCAGAAGCCATGCCAAAATTTAAACCGTACATGTTCGTGTTGAATAAATGCATGTGAAGGACAGTTTTGAGTTAGCCAGCTAAGACGTTTTTTCATCTGTTTCTGTAATTGAGGGTTGCTCAGATAATGCATTTAACTCTCCACAGTATTTTTAAAATGGATGCAGATAAACATTACATTTGTACAGAATGTGCAGAGAGTAAAAATAAAATTGTGATGTTTTGGAATGGAAAATGAGAACAGCATATTAGTTTTCGTTTGAATTGAATGCAGTGAAAGATTTGTCACTCATGGTCCAGGAAAGAGACCCTCGGATAATTGTACTGTCCTTTTAGAACAACGTAAGGAACTTAAATTTTTAAGAGCACTTTGCATACCTTCTTGTTTTAGAGTTTCTCGACTGTGGATGTTTTTTCTGTTCTTTGGTCTTGAGGGGAAAAGTTTTCATGTTTTAATTGCATTTTTGTGGAGGGGTGGAAATTGTGGTTGGAAATTCACATCATAAATGCTGACATAAATTAGTTATGGTGTTGCGGATGTACATTTCATGACTCCTGTTTTCATTTAATCATTTTATTCAGTCAAGGTACTGTATTATATCCATAAAGCATGGCGTCAGCCTTGTTTGGTGGCTTTAAATTTACAGTGCAATTGATTTATACCAGTACTTGCCTCACCCTTGTCCATGGTGTCGTTTTGGTTAAGGTTGGCACTCGCAATCTGTGGTTATGTACAAATCAGGCACAAGACTTGGGCTTTGCCCCCCCCCCCAAAGAAGAGGAAACACTTCAAGTAACCGGCTCAGTGAGTTGGTAACTTGGGTTGAGTAAGTACGATATACCATGTGTCAAATTGAATGCTGTTGCACTTTCGGGAGAAGGCGCTGGATGTAGTAATCCAATGCGCATATTAAACATTGGCAACCATGGCAACCTCCAAGTGACTCAGTGTGTTGTGAATTGCTCGTAATAAGCACAGGAAGTCTTGAAGCGCTTGACAACTCTGCAAAGAAAATTAGGTCAGATGCAAAAAGATTAAAGGAAACCACCATTTCAGTGTCATTTTCTGAAATCTAAATTCTGTACAGTTTAATTTTGTGGCTCTTCTTAAATCAGACGTCACAGTGCTGCTCAGCAATTGTACATCTTTTGTAACTTTACAGAAAAGGTTGTTACTCATTAGTATGTGGTTCTAATGCACTTTTACACTTCATCAGAAAGTGGCAGGAAACCAGCTTGAGTATGAAGATGTGAATACCTTGGAATTTGTAGCATATTAACATCAAAAGTATTGTGCAGCTTTTCCCGTTTGCATCGGCCAAGAGAAGTTACAAAATAAAACCAAACTTCTTCATAGTAAGATTTCAAACGAAAGCCCATAAAATATGTTTGATGAAAACAATTGCTACATGTATGCTCGTAGTTTATTGCAAAATTTACATGTAGAAAACAAACAGAATCTAAATTTATTTATCCATTTACTTATTGTTTTAACTGGGTGACCCATGCAGTAGAATCCACTAGTCTCCCACAGGTCCCAGTACATTACACTAAAGGGCTTATAGCCAATGCTTCTTGTACCTTGGTGCTAAGACAATTGGAAATGATCACACGAAACAGTTTACTCAAAGGGTAAAGAATGTACACAGGTTGTGGTAAATATGTCGATTATAAATGCAGGTGCTTGCTGGAACCATTTACATGAATAAAAAAGTCAGCTGATGTCAGGATTTTATGTTGTAGGTGTGAAGGCTTAACAGTGCAAACAAACACAGACCATATTTTCCTTTATTACATACACAAATTGGGCAGGGACTTTGTTCTTGAAAGGGCAAGGCAATTTTTCATTTGCAAAGGGCACTTGTATTGGAAAATCAACTTGTCTGTGGGGGCATTTCATTGGGCATTGGGGGCAAAGACCAGGGGCATCAAGGCAGTGACCTCTGATCCCTCAGTGAAGTTCCTGCCTTGCATTACGCATGAATTGTTTTTTTCACTGTCCGATACGATCCCACTGTTTGAATGGGCGGTAGAAGTTTTCAGAAATATCACCCTAGGTGATTGTTGGATTATATGTCAAAATGTACAAAAAGAGTTGAAGAGGGGCAGAAATGTTGTTCATTACCTGGTGTTTTTATAACCGTGTACAACTGTTAACACATAGTGAATAATTCTTTCACTCTTGCACTAGCATCCAACCACAGTTCCAGCAAAAATATGACTGATGTAGAAAGAACAGATTCACAACAACAAAATTTGTCTCAAAGGAGAAAAAAGGTCTGCTACAGCCCAGTTTTATGCCCCGATACAATACTGTGACCAGATTTCATTTGTTAGATACACATGGGGGGGGGCCTTCATCAAAGATTCATGATGATCTTCAGCAGGTATTTCATCAAGCTGCTAAGTAAAATTTCCTGCTTAGCAAATTAAGCCAAATCCAGTTTAATAGAGCCAGCTATTAACAGTGCAAGTCTAATGACAGTGTGGCTAGTAACCCTTTTCTGCTGAGCAAAGATTTCCATGCTAAGCAACATCAGTGCCAAATACATGAACATGTAGTAGATTTACGGAACTGATGTCTAGTGTTAACAAACAATGAGTGGTAACAGGTACTGTGGATGTGGACTTGATACCAGTTCGCAGTCGCGTCCATCACAAGTTCAGTCCTAAGTCTTTTCACAAGGCCCGTTACAGGGCAAACATGGGCACTAAGGAATGTTTTTATTGCAGTTCATCTGACAAGCTTGTGATTCAACATTGGTGAACTGGATGGCTTATGATGGACTTGTTGGGTCTCGACCAAAAAAACTGCTTCACAATCAAGGTTTTGCATTACAGTAACAACTTTTTCTTTTGGTCCTGCACAAAAGCTGATCCCAAATCCTGTCCTCTTGAAATCACAAACAGAATTCACCCATCAACCCTAACCTTCCCAGATCCCTCAAAATCCATCAAATGTGAAAAGATGTGAAAAGATATTGCAGGATGGGTCCAGCTGTTATTGGTCTTCTTTATGAGGCGGCCATCTTGAATCTTGGACAAAAAAGTCATGACACCGTTTTTGTCCAAATGAAACATACCATTCAAAGTGAGACTATACCTGTAATTAGTCAGGCACCTTACCTTAGTGTTTTGTGAATAAAGTGGATTAGGATAGCATGATTCAAAATGGCCACCTAGTGAACGACGCCCATATGACTTTGATGTCCCTTGAGTGTTGAAGTGCAAAGAAGTGGCCACTGTATTTCTGCAAAGTGGAGGATTTTGAAGGATTCAAAAGGCTACTAGTAAAACTGCCTTAGGAATAAGAATTTGAAAGGTCCACTTTTTCCATCAAATAAAAATCTCTTACAGAAAAGAAACCCAGAACAAAAAAAACCCAACAATGCTGAATCCTGCCTCATAACTACTTATTTATCAAAGTTGATAAATTCATTTTACATGTACAAAATATTAACATCTCTCTCGATTTAATATGTACACATTACTCTATATTCAACTAATTCATAACGCAATCTAACTTTGGCAACTCTACGTTTGTAAAATCATAAAAAAGACTGAACATTTTAGTGTTGCCTTTGGGAAAAAAAAATTTCCATCACGGGTTACAACTAAAAGTGCATTTAATAAACTTGAACTGTGACCTCACCAATACTATAAATTGCAGATGAATCACAATGACCGATAATCATATAATAATAGATGAAAAATTAAAATTGATAAATTTAATTAATACTTCCACTACCAATTTTAATAATAGGCATAAGAAAATTATTCCCTTCTTTATTCTGTAGGTATGTAATAAATTCACACTATACTTTTGTTTGCAGTTGATGTAGTTAAATATTAATGACAATAACATTTCTTGCCCAACTGCTTGTTGGTCTCCCTGAAATGTGGTCAAATTTGGTGTCTGGTGCTTGGGTACTGATTCATTTTCTAACGAGCCATCTCAAACATCTCAAGTGGCTGAAAAATTGGGAAACTAATGCACGTGTAAGTTGTAGGATTCTTAATGACAGTCCCTCACAATATTTCCACATTGAAGCTACCTGATTGCATGTTTCCCCAACTTCAGGGATGACAAGGTGCCAAATGATAATTTGGCCAGGGCAAATGCCGAGCTTCTTGCGAGTGGAGTGAGTGGTTTCACCTGCAACTTGTCTAGAATGAGTTTTGAGATGGCTCTGAAGCCAAAAACGGAGTGATTTTTAACTTCCACACGCAATCTCATGCACACATATTAAGACTATTCCCGGTTAAACCTAAACCAACACATTTCAGAACTGGGTCATTTCCACTGGACTCTCTGGCTATGGGCAGTAAACAGAAACGCTGTTGTAATCTCAAAGAATACTGACGGGCCAATGCTTTTCCCTGCTGTGGGTGAACAAGTCTCTTCTATCCTTCCACAAAGTACACCTGACTACCTTTAGCCACACAATGACAACATCAATTTGTGTTGTCGGTACATAGGTGCTTGTAACCCAAATGTTTCACAAGCTGTTGTGCTTTTTCCCCAAGACCTGCACAACTGGCCATGTACTCCACAAAAGTAGTAACACTTGATACCTGATACGAATGAACATTGGGAGTTACGTTTTCAGCTAAAGATCCCTCGCTTGGTAGAACAGAATGTACCCAGAATCTGATGTCTTTTGGACCTCCGTTGCGAGTCCGTAAAACTCCTCAATGTTAGAGACGTCAATTTTCTGTTGAGAAAAGCAGAGACCATTCGTCAGTGCAAGAAAGTATATCCCGTTTAAGGAGTTTGTTTGCAGTACTAAGAAGAAGTAGCATTTGATCGTTACTTTGATCATTCAGCACTGCCTCAGGTGTCCTATGCCAAAGTTATTTGTATGCACTGGATCGCACCATTTTCAGTCTGGTGTCTATAAACATGGCCATTAATTGCATTACATAAAACAGCGATAACATGACCATTCCATTTGTGGATCTCTGGTTAGAAAAGGTGCATTACACTTCTTGCTAGTTTGCTGGTAAGACATGATAGAAATTTGGAGGGGAAAAATGCATCGGTACTTACGTCTACCAGGTCATCATCGAATAGCAGCCAGAAGCCGTGGCTTTTGACGATGGTAATGTAATGGCCCCTGTTAGGACCACTGCAGGAAGACAAATGTGAAGACTTTGTGTCATTTAAAGATGGAGATTGGGCTGAATTGAAAAGAAACATCTGTTTGGTAAATGTGGTATCGATGAATAAACCAAATCTGCCTGATACTGGGAATGTACAAGATTTTCTTCCATCCTTAAGAATTGATAATAGCTTGATTTTATAACTTGAAGGTTACAGGCAAAATTGTTCTCAAAAAACTGTAAATGTGATCAAGTTAATCAAAGCCGACCTACTGCCTGAAAAAACATTGAACTCATAGGTTTACCTTCCACAGTGGATGACGACGGAGACCAGATCATAGAGCTTGTCCGGGCTGGTTGCATCATCAGACTGTACAGCATAACAGGTGATAGGGGTAAGATTAAAAAAAAACAACAGAACGTCATGACTGTTGCAGAAAGATGAAGTACACTGTACCTACGCAGATGGAACTACTGTGACAACAAAGGCGAGATAAGACAGCACACTTCACATGTATGTGCATCTCACATCGGCATGAAGTGACTTTGGATGGTACAGCATCATTGCTACTACTGGAAAAGGCTTATGCTAAATTCCCACATAATTTAGCAACTCTGGGTGGCTAACCAGTTAATGTCACTTCACATGAAAAACAAGGAAGGCTAATTGTGTTTCTTGGGGTGCAATTACACATTGAATACTAACGACTTATCTACAGACAGCAATTTCAAAGAACTGAGGTGGTGTCCCATTCACATGCATATACGCAGGTGTAACTTTAGATGTGAAAGTATTTGGTGCCAGTAGTTCATAAAAGGAGTACCGCGAGTCCCTGTCTGACCTGTATGTGAGCTTGGTACTGCCTTGGTAATGGCCTCTTTAACAGGCTCTCAGAGAAGCCTTCCTTGGGGCAACTACTTGAGATGTACGGTTATTTGGTCCCTCTCTTTCTCACAGGCACATCAAAAATCCATGTGTGACCCACATACACCAATACTACTGCCTCAGTATTGGGGCACGCTCGAGCAACAACCGTTTGTCAACCACCAGTCGATTTTGCCTGGTACCCAGGATACATATAGTGCACGGGCTACCAGGGAAAATCAATGGGGAGTTGACAAGTGGGCGTTGCTCAAACGTAATTGTGGCTTGTAAATGTAGTCATCAGAGTGGTCTGGGGAGGAAATTTACAAAGGGAAGCGAGTTGAGTATCTGACACTGCCTTGGGCGGACTCACCGTGTTCATGAGTCTGAGCTCAAGTGGGAATACAACGCGGTAGGAGAGCTTGGTGTAGCGGTGGACTTGCTCCATGTACTTGAAGCGCTTGAGGTGTAAGGCAAGGATCTGAGGCAGTTTCTTGACTTGCATTCTGGAGTAAAGGGTTAGCAGAAGAGAAAGGGGTCGAGAAGGGAACAAGCAAGGTTACTAATAGGTGGGTAGTGTCATGACTGGTATTGAAATACACTGGCTTAACCCTCCTATGGTTTTACGGCAC